AATCTTCAAACATTGAATCATTTATGAAGAAGGCGTTTACAATTTATAAGAGAGCGAGTGAAAGAGAATACATGTGCATTAGAGCCACTGCATCATACCTGGACAGGCTGTCAAGCAGTTTACAAGTACTAGTTGCCTTCAATTTCGCAAGTAACTGATAACTTCTGTACATGCCAGAGCAGATATACAGTACGGAGGATTTTATGGTAAATCGCAATGGAAGTGACCTGTACAGCTCGGGAAACCGACCCGTGCCGTCCGATTCGCAGTCCACCGGTCTAGTTATTTAGCATAGTAGACGGCACTTTATATCATTGTCAGCTTATTCAGCAATATAAGAGGAACACGTGGTGTATAAATTTGACGAGCTGTATCATAATAGTAAAAGATTATGACTTCGACCGCACAGGTACACGTCGATTTTGAAATATATAGGTTTTTTACCATACGCATTAAAATTGATTCGAAATATAATACTGACTTAAATAAAGCAATACAAAATATGTATTAAAGCAGTGGAAATATTCGTGCGCATATTAAGTACTTTCTATTTTGTCACGAATTCACAATAAAAAATATTTTATTTTTCTGCCATACAAAATAAAAAATGATTGTATTTCAAATAAATGTTTGCATGTTTAAAAAGTCAATTAAGATATTTGAGCTTTCTCCTTATTCCATTATATAAAAAGACAGCACTTGTCTATACTTTATTAACATTCAAACAGTACATTTGCTCACACAAAAACAATGTCATTTTTTTCGTGAAAGACATCAGGAAAGCACAGTTACTCTTTGTTTATGAAAAATAAATCTTAAGATATCAAAAAGATAAAAATTATAAAAACTATATATATCACAAATATCATATATATGACAAATGAATACTGTTGAAAGCTGTTAAAAATATCACCTACCATTTTCTGTCAGTGTTGTGGTTCCTTCCCCGCTAAAACATCACAATGTCTTGTTGATAAGACAGACGAGAAAAATCACCTTTAATTCTGAAATCTGAGTTTGTAATAAAGCTATACTGTTACTTTTCTGTATATCACTGTTTTTATGAGATAAAAACTTGTACGATTTTAAAAACGCGATAAGATGTAATTGCCTTTCTTTTTTTTCCTTTTCCCTCAAAAATCTTAAAACGTCTGCGTAGATTTTAACTTAACAATTGATAATGGGGAGTTTTTAAAGTTTTAGTGTATATTCAGGGGTTTTTTTTATTTCGGAATAAAATAACATTTTTTTTTCTAAATTGTTAACGATAATCTTACATAAAATAGGTATATTGTTTGGATAGTTTGAATAAAATAAAATGGTACACGCTCAGCCATTGAAAGCCTCGCGTGAGACAAGATTTATCTTAGATCGAATGTAATTGAAACTCTGTCTGTATGCTAGATGATTTTTGTAGATTCTTTCTGCAACAGTTGTTTGTATATAAAGGCGGGGGAGCGCCATTCAATTTATCAGATGTTTTAAGAAAAATGATATTATTGTATATAAAACAACGCATTGTCCTACCCCTTTTCTTTGAGCAGACGACAATCTTATTAAGAAAACAAAACAGGGGCGCTGCTGATAATATCCAATTATTTTGTTATCTGAAGTTGTTTTTTTTGTTTTTTTTGACAGGACTAACGGAGTAATTGTCGGCTGCAGACCCGACCACAGACAAGAAACATGCTGCCAAAAAGGCGAGCCATAATGTATGTATAAAATAAATAACTTCAAAAACAATAGATTCTCAAGTATATGATATTTGCGGTTAGACATGTGCTCAAATTATTGCGATGTTCTGTTTTCCCGCCCACGATTCGTAATGCTGCCATTACTCCTTCTGTAAACCAACATAAAATGAACGTTTTCTGCCTTTCGTTTAAATATTCCGCATGAAATTATGATAAGCCATCACATGCATTTTTGGGGAAGTTATAGACAGACAAAGCGGCGAAATGTACCTCGTCAAATGAATTTCGTTTTTAGAATAAAACTGGCACCGTGTGCATTAATGGTCTAAGTAGTGTCTAATTACGGCTTTTGTGTAATGAAAGTAATGTTTTAATTCGTCTTATATAAAGTGTTTGCCTGTACTAATATGACAAATAATGTATGACAGAAATTATGTCCATGTAAAAAATATTCGTTGGTACATGTACACGGAAAGACTGAACAGTTACCCTAGATATAGATGATTATTGACGTCTACTAGGCAATTCTACATGACAAATATATAAGCTCCATGCATTGTAGTTTTCCAGAAAACGATTAAATATGTTTTCATATAAAGAACTACCTAACAAAAAGGTCCTCAAGTGGCTCAGTTATTTATCAGTCTACATAAGGCATGTGAATCCCAGTGAGGGTGAAATTTTAACCGCAGGGTCATGGTTAATATACATTTTGTAGAAGACTCCAAATTAATGCTAATGCCAAAAATCTAAGCTTTGAGCTTTTATAGTTTAGGAGCAAATTTCAAAGTCTGCATAAAATGACACCAGGACGAGCCAATTTGTACCCCAGGGTCAAAATTTATGTAGCATTTGTAGAGGTCAACTTAGCAATGGTACTTGCTAAATATCATAACTCTGGGCATAAAATTTCACACAGCACTATTAATATGTATATTCAAATATATGCCTATAGAAACCAAGTGACCCTTTGGGAGGGTCCAATTTTGACCTTAGGAAGTCCAAACCTGCGTTCTGCATATTATCTTGTTATAAGTAACAGTTTTGCCAAATTATTTAAATATCCTTCTGTTCAAAGATATAAAGTGGACATGAAATTTTGAAATTCATACATAATAACTTGTGACTTTGAACATGACCTAAGAAATATCTAATGTGTGCTCTGTAGATCGTCTCATTATTGTTACCATGACTGCCAAGTAGTCTCAATGTTCTTCCATCGGTTCAAAAGATACAGAGTGGACACGATTTGCTAACAGACGGACAGGTGCACAACAATAAGCGCCTTTTTTTTCGGGTGTATAAAATTGTCAAAAAAAAAATGTTTGCACCTGGCAAGACTCAGCAGTTTATTTATGTCAAGATAAGGTAGAACAAATACCAAATTGGATGAAAATGTCCAGGCCCAGAGGGCACTTGACTGTTTATTTAAAAATCAAGAAAGATAGGCATTTAAAGCTTTTATAAGTAAATAACAGGACATAAAGTTGGACAGCAATTCGTCCACCACTGGTCCAACCAAGGAGACTTACCTGGGTACCTATGTTCAGTGTCAGGCACGACACAAACCAGGTTTACACCAACAGCCTTATTTTTGGTTCACAGAAAACTATTCATCAACATAGCTAACTAACTTTTACAGGGGTAATTAGAATGAGGACACGTCCAGTAAGGTTTTTCAGGGTGCATTTATTCGAGTGAGAAACCCAATAAAAAAACTAATAATGATGCAAAACCTAGTCAAAATTTGAAAATTTGACGTTTTTAACTCAAAAATCCTTTAAAGGCCCGGATGGTGAGAATCGGCCCGTAAAATGAAAAAGGACCTGAGGCAATAATTTCAGGGCCACTTTCCGGCCTGTCTCTAACGTGTATTAATTCATGTTAAAGGAACCTTATGACTCAGAAATGCATTGCTTTTGTTGCTTTGTTTGCAATTGGTATACATAAAGTGAATTTATTAATACATGTACATTGTATTTAATTTCTAAAGAATTAATAAAAATGGATTTCTAAGGCATAGATATCTTCCAATGAAACACTAAAAACAGAAAAGAATAAATGTTTACTAATAAAATCCTAATAACAACAACCTATTATTTGCAGGCACCTTTGAATAATTTTATGTAGCATTTCAAAACTAAAATTTCCAAAGTAAAAACAACCCTTTAGTCTTTAATGACTTTTCTTTATTTTTCATCTATGTGAATATATCACAATTAATTAAACATGTTCAATTTATTAATGAACTAAAGTCATTAATCAATGGTACATTCATCTCAAAAACAATCTTGTCATCATGATTTATTTACACTTAACAATGTTATGCAAAATAAGTTTAGTCAAATGTGACAAATGAATTCCAATGTTACGTCACTAGATTTCATGTGAAAAAAACAAACTTAATTAAGCATAAACACAGATTAATTTGTCCTCGTTCCACATGACACATTATTATCTACACATGACACCTTATTATCTATCTACACATGACACCTTATTATTTACACATCACACTTCAACATTTTCATCAACCATATTCTATTCAGCACTAACAGGTAAGTTTTAAAATGTATCAAGTAAGTTAAATGCACCTTTACTTCTTACATACATGTATATAGCCACATAAGTACTGCCAAGTTAAACAATTATCAAGCTAATCTTTACATACTTTTTTGACTTTGAGATCTCTTTCGATAATTTGAACACATATTTGTACTTATATTTGATTATTTTCACTCTAAATAATCAGACCTTTTGTCTGACCAAGTCAATCTGAACTGCTTGACAAACACTATTCCACACACTGCTATGATAAAAACTGTCTGTACCTTTGTGTAATCCATACATTTGTAAATCTTTATATAAGTCCAATGTACAAATAGTTACACTTTCATAGATAATAATCCATGTCCTTCCAATCTCTTTTTAAGTAAAAGAACTGTTCACACTAGTGAGAAACAGTCACAAATTCTGCACATTTCCAGACTGTTGAGATAATCTTCAATCAAATACTTCCACAATAGCGCATTTTTGCTTCAAGAGCAAAATTATTCAATCAATAATCTATCAATAATAAGCACTTTATCAGAGTACAGTTAATCATCTAAGTCATCAACAATACCAGCTGTTCAACAAATTAGGAAGCATTGTACAATATATTATCATTGTACTTATTTAATTCCCTCATATCCTCATGCAATATAACCTCAACTCTTCCGACAACTTTTATCGTGTTCCACATTCTGTTGCCATGAATTTCGTTCAATTTCCTTTTCTAATCACATCCTCTATACAAGCTTCTCCTACACTTCCAGATGAAACACCTGTAATTTCTATTGCAGGAATTCTTCAATATCAAAACCCTCGTTGGAGTCATCTCCCTGTGTGTCTCCCTGACCTTCATTCTCACTCTCTGACTCTGATATCTCAAGGTCATTGTTGAGATCAGTATCCATGGTTTCCTGTTGGTCATCAAATTGATTCTGTTCTTCCACTGCCGCTGCTTGACTAGCAAGAGCACTGTGACGGAAAAACTCGGACGGATCAAAGCTGTTCTCATCATCAATCTGTGGCGGTTGTACCTGCAAAATAAAACAGATGTTTTCTAGACATACAATGATATACAAATAAACTGCTTGAAGGCAAAAAACTTGATTTTCAAGAGAAATAATTAACTTAAATAATTAACACATAATTTAAACTAGAACAAGAACTGCCTGTAGGTATTCTCAAAGTAAAATTTTTCAAAGTTCAAAAACTTAACCAAAGTGTGATGCTGACATCTGAGTAAGTAAAGCAGCTCACCCTTTTCTTCAAATAATTGAGCTAAAAATTATTGCATTTGCATTAACAATATACAATTCTCAGCATCTACAACAACCTAGATAAGAAAGCATTACTCAAAAGTACAACACACAACAATACTGTCTGATGCACTGTTAACAACATATACGAACATTTGCACCCAACCCTATCCCCACGCTTCCTATTGAAGGAATTACCTTATGTTAAACCTGATAATAACAACAGTTTCCTGATATTAACCACCAAGTGATATTTACCACAGTTACTTGGTGTTACAACAACAAACCTGTTACATCAACAGTAATTATCTGATATTACAACAGTAGCATGATTTAAACAATTACTTGATAGTCTACAACACTTTACCTGATATTGTTGTGAGTTAGCAGCTTCCATGTAACTTTGGTCATCATCCATGTATGTGTACCCTTGTTGTTCTACATCATCCTGGGTGTTCTTCTCATCGTCAGAATCATCACTTAATTTACCTGCAATAACATGATCATTTAATTTATATGTTATACAATTATCACTCAATTTACCTGCAATAAAATCATGATTTAATTTATGTGATATAAAATTATCACTTGAATAACCACTTAATTAATCTGCAATAAAATCATCAATTTAATTTAATATATGTGATTTAAAATTATAACTTAATTTACCTTAAATAAAATCATCACTTAATTTACCTGCAATAAAATCATGATTTAAAATATTTTTTCCCTTAAAACCCAAATTTACTTTATTTATCTTTGTTACAAAGATATCTCAATTTAATCTAATAAAATCATCACTAAAAGCTGAAATCTCACTCTGTTTATTTGGCAGCCAAAACATAACTACTTCCATCTACATAACAATCACTCAAAACACGTAAGTAACTGCTGATGTTTGATAAATATTACAATCATTATCAACATGAAACATGTCCAAATCATCAACTTCACTTCATTGAAGACAAATAGAAAGGAAGTTTCTTCTTTTTTTATAAGATAAATTTCTAAATTCTTACCAAGGATATCATTTTCTGCCTCCATTCTGTCTAGTGTTTCATCCAGGTCACCATCTCCATCCTCTTGTTTCACTTCCCTCTTTAACTAAAAAATTTTATTCATTAGTTACTTATTCATATGCCAGATTTGTGATAAAAATTTGTGATTATTCCAATGAAATATGAAATCAAAGTTGCATGATGTTTTTCCAATATGACATATAAAGACTTAGGTAATTAGACTTGACATAATTCATTTTAATGTTAAACAAGGCACAATAAGGCTCAGAAATGAATAAAAAATTGTTTCTTCTTCAGAAGTACAAATATGAGTTTTATTTCATTAAAACAATGGTTTTAGAACATCTAGGATCCTTATCACCTGTTAATGTAGCGCTGGGTGTGAAATTATTTGTCTTTCTTGCTATACTGTGTTTTAATAGCAGGATCTACCTGTCATTGTTGTACACAACTTTACTGTTCACTAAGGAAAAAATAGTACCAAACTTGTTCTTTATAACGTAATTAATCTGGGAACTATTTATAATTTCAATTAGTAAATTTACCTTTTTCCTGCTAAAAGAGTCCTCATCTCCTTCAATATCCACAAAATCAGAGTCAGACATACTGACTCCCTGGAAGTATGGCTGAAATTAACAAAAACTTTATATCAATTCAAAGGTACAATATAGCTCTGAAGTCTTTAAGGAAATTAAATATTTACAAATGCGTATATATAAATCCAATCAGTATATTTGTTGAAGACAAGCTCTATATTTTGCACTTCCAGCATTGATGTAATATGTTATTACAAAAATCCTTTTTTCATACTAGTATTTCAGGAATTTGTTAATATTTCAAAAACTTCCACTCTACAGTCACTGGAAATGAGAACTTACTTTATCTTAATAATATAAAACATCAGACATCAGTCATAATCTAACAGAAGGAAATATGCTATCATGCAAAACATGACACCCAACATCTTTTTGCATTTCCCCCCCCCCCCCTCAACTTTCTTTGCCTCATTTCTTTATTGCCTTTTGTAAATAGTCAATGGGCAGTATGTAACATTATTTCAGTCATACAATGATATAAAGCTATCTACAATGTTAATAAATCCTGTACCAATACTTATTTTCTTCTCTGTAAATAACTGCAAAATATTTCACATTAACTTTTTGAAACAGATGTTTGGGACACAAATGGTGTCAAGATAAATATTTTTTCAACACACATAAAAAAGGCATGTGCTTTGTTTATGTTTCCAACGTTTTCCAGATACATTATTCTAGTATCTCTCTCCATACTGAAGTTACTAGGCAACAGAAATGACATATATAGTTGATGTGTGATACCTGTGAATCTTGTGTAACCCCAGCATTAGAATCATCCATCTCAGTATATTCCTTTATTGTCACACCTTCTTTAGTAGTACTGTAGCCATCTAGAGATTCATTGTCCAAACCTTAAATAATGTAACAATATTACAATGATTACCCAGATAGTATCCTATAACAACAGTCATAGGCATTAGAAATATTGATATGTTCTAATGCTTGGTGAATTTTCGTAAATCATGATTTTTCAACAATTTTAGAATGATTGCTACCAAAATGATGCCTGATGTGGGCAGAAATGCTAGATATGTAAAGTAACCTTTTTTAGGATTTTTTTTTTGTTTTCGGTTGGGTTTTACGTTGCACCAACATGATATATAATTATATGAGGACTTTCCAGCTTTACTGGTGAAGGAAAACCCCAGGTGCCCTTCTGTGCCTTATTTCAGGCACAATCAGGCACCAGAGTAGAACCATCAAAATTCTGTAAGCTAGATGGACAGCTTCCTTACAGCAAGGAATCAAAAGTCCCTGTTGGGAATCCAACCCACAGCTATGATGGGCAAGTTTTTTAGTGTTGTGAAGTCAACAACCTTAACCACTCAGCCACTAATGCCCAACCTTTACAGGCATCAACTTTATCATATATATATGAATGTTCACTAAAATGTTATATGTAGTCTGACATGAAACCAATAACTTTGAAATTTTGCTTTTTCAAGATATTTTATAGAATTATGAATATTCATATCTTATTTCCAATTGTGTTATAAAAGATTAAACTACATTAATCACTAACTTATTGTATAGTATATGCAAAGGCAATTAGGCTTCGTTTTGCACAACTAACTTATTGTATAGTACAGTCAGGACTCAATACATCGGGATCCATTATACTGACAAATTCAAATAACGACAGTGAATTGGTGGGAACCAAACTTTTTCAACGTTATTATTATCCGTTATAACGGAAAATTCGTATTCCGACTCCGACACAATAAAATTGGTAACTTGTTATTTTCTATACAATCAGTACCCGTTAAACTGACACTCGTCAGTCAAGCTCGTGTATCATTGAGCCTTGAACAAAAGCCGCAAGGTGTTAAAACAGGTATTGTGCCTTGGTCAGTTGATTGTTACACCACATTGTTACAATACCAACGTGTTGTTGTCAGCTGAATTTTGTTACACTTGCCAACTTGTGACTTTTTTTTTATTAAAATAATGGCAGAACCTCCAGCTCAACGTCAACAGACTAATTTAACTTTTGAACAAAAATACGAAATCATTTCATATAAAGAAAGTAAAAAGGATGTTACACAAAGTGATATTAGTAAGAATTTTGGGCATAATATGTTATACCCCTTGGCGTCCGTTCGTCTTTTTCACTTTAGATGTTTATTATAGATCTAAATACATAATGTTCAGATACCAGCGAATAAGCATATCATTACAATTACAATATTATGAATAATGAAATTCAATATACTGACAAATTCGATATACTGACATATCCTTTGGGAACCAACAGTGTCGTTGTAATGAGTCCTGACTGTATATGTAAAGGCAATTACGCTTCTTTTTGCGCAACTAACTTATTGTAAAGTATATGCAAAGGCAATTAGGGTGGGTTTTTTTCATAATGAAAATCATACAAAACTGTATCTCCCACATGGATAAAACAGAAAAGATAGCACCAAAGTAAACTGACCTTGAGTGTAGTCATCATGTGTAATAGATGTACCAGTGACAACACTCTCAGACTCTGCGGCCTCCAGTGCTGCCTCCTGCGCAGCTCGGATATCTTTCTCCAACTGTGTGATTGTCTCCTCATTCTATCATGAAATATTTCAACTTATGTTTTTATCATTTAACAAACTCTGTAATTATTCAACACTCTAAATTGTTCATAAATAAAACAATGAATTAACTTGCTGCATTTTGTAATGTATGTGAACAACCTGTTGACAATTTGTTGCTGTAATATGAATTAAAAATTTTTTTTTCTCATAAGCTATAAGCTTATTGGAACACTCAAATCTATTCCTGGAACCAACCAGTACTAAGCAATTAGTGCAAAGTTTCTTGCTCAAAGAAACATCAGCTTGCCCCTGGCAGGGTTTGTACCCACACATCCAGCAATGCTTAGATTATTAGTCTGACGCATTAACCACTCAGCCAAGGAGCTACTAAAAACTTTTGACTTATGCTCAATTCTTTTAATTGATAACAACAAGCTACAATCATTTTAAGATTCAAAGTATTTTTTTTTTAATCTAACTTTACTGCACTAGTTTCAGATATGATTTGATAAAAAAAAAATTCTATACATAGAAAGTGTATCTATATATAAGAACTCCTTTGTTTTCAAAATATAGATACATGTTTAATGTAATTTACCTCCTGAATGGCAGACATACAAACATCCAACATTTTCTTTGCTGTAGTTGTAAAGGCATGGTCCTTGCCGTTATATCTGATACTGTTGTCTAAGATTAGCTGTATATCACCAATAAAACCTTCCTTACTCTGATACTGATGACTTTGAATTTTCTGTTATTAAAAATCACATTTAAATGACATTTAAAAATAATATACAGTATACCTTAACCCTTAATATACTTAAATTTCAGTAAATCCAACTACATCACCCCTGGGAGACTCCTCAAAGCCTAGCCAGAACGCACAGAAGTACCAGCTGGCCTGGCCGTATATAAGGAGCTAAGGCTAATCACTTTTAATTTGTTAAACTAGAATCCAGGAAAAATTATCAAAAATACCATAAATCAAGAGAAATTAATTTGTCTTAATTCCAGTCACATTACATCTTAGTTGAAAACAGATAGATACCCCCTAAATAAGTTGTAATGGAGGGGAGAAAACATGATTTAAAACTGCTGTACTCTATCCAGGCAGTCATAATGGAATAAAGAATAATGCACTTCCTTCCCTTGAGAAAGTGGAATTTTCATTTAGTATTTATTGTCAGAAAATAGATATTCAATAAAACTAACTGCTTTGAAAAGTAGATTTTTCTGGAGCACATTTAGCAATTTAAGTCTAAAACAACTCAATATATATTATTATGCCATGTATCGGAAACACAGAATGCTGCAAGAAAGATATCAAAATATCTTTGAATCATTCTGAAATATTTCAAGAACAAGAAGTCACGAAAGTGAACCATAAAATGATGTGATTTTTTGTCAATACCTTTAAAATGGTATTAAGATCCATGGGTTGCTCTATAACATCATAGTAGTCCTTTATAACTTTCTTATTTACAGGATTTTGAAATGGCCATGTCTGAAAAAGAAAATATTGGATTATATTATTTGTACAAATACAAATAGTGTTAATATTACCATGTATGATTTGTATGTAATTTTAATGTTTTCAAAATAGTTTATAGTATTATTCCTGCCAAATGCCAACCTGTAGTTACCTAGTAAGAGTTTCAGATTTCTGTAACTATACTTAGTTATTTGTCCACAGATATCGACCATAAATCAAAAGTGATGATAAAATGTCTTTACACATTATGTTGATTTAAACATATTTATTTCAGCTCGATTGCGAAACAAGTTCTTGCAACTTATATTAATCACTTTCGAGTCCGCTTCCTGGAACCAACCAGTACTGGTGTCATATGAAGGACCATGGTCGTGACCCGAGTAGGGCTCGAACCCATGATCTCTGGGTTGAGAGGCAGACACCTTAACCACTAGGCCACCGCTCCCACATTATGTTAATAAACTGAACAGCCTAAGTATTACCTTAGAATGATATCATAAAACAAAACATAGCATGATAGTAAAGCTGCAGGAGAGTCACAAATAATGGCCAACATTACCTTTGATATTTGATTTGGTAGGTTTTAAACATTACTAATAAAAAATGGTAATTTCACAACTTTACAGCTGTTATTCTGGATAGAAAACTTAAGTGCATTTCAATACCGTATTATAGACAAACTACATGGCTGGAAAGCTTTTAAGATTCTAAATTAAAGATTCTAACCACTCAATGTAAGGAATAAAGTAAAATAGGAAAGATATTTCATTATTTACTTACATTATCCACTGACTTGATTCTATTAAGAATATTTTCTAGGATAAAAGAGAAGGCGACTTGATCATTGTCATCCAACAGTGGGTTTATAGCTTTCTCTAGTCTCATCAACTTATCTTCTTTCTGTAAAAATAACAAACACAAATTTAATATTACCATTATATTTCTACCTATTTCATACAATTACATAAAACATGAAGTTTACTTTAGCCAAAGTACAGTATCATATTACCCAACATAGTATAGATCATCTGTGTACTTTCATGACACAGGTAAACTCCTGTTGTGGCTCCAGAGGTATTTTCAAAAGGGAAGTAAGTCAAATGAATTCCATCCTCAGATGAGATGAGCAGCAACTTATTAAAAAAAACAACTTTGATCTTGGCAATATGAGTTTGCTTGACATCAGACCCTATTATAATATATGATAATGAGTACATTACCTCTGCTAGTCTTCTTAGACAATGATCTAACATATTCTGAGCTGTCATAGTCAGTGTGCTCTTTATGCCTGTAAAATAACCAACCATTGGAAAATATAATCATCATTTTCCGTTTACTTTTTAAATCTTTTACCACTCAAAATGTATAATGAATTTGTATTACTATAAATCTTAGCTATAAATAATTTACAAACCAAGTGTAAAAACATAAATTACAGTATAAAAAGCCTGGTCATTTAAGTAAGGCCAAACATTCATAAACAGCATCTAAAAATGTGACACAGGAAATGGCATCATGTTTAGCAATGTACAAACCATTATATAAACTGCTATTCTTCATTATTAAATTCACATCTAACAGAAAATCTTCCCTCGACTTGTATTTTTTAGCTCGCAGATTCTGAAATAAAATACAAATACCGTTTCATTTCTTATTCTTCAAAATACACATTTACTTTTGTCACGGTTCAGAACTGTTCACTATTTAGGGATGAAGATGTGTAAGCGGCCGGAAAGCTCAGTCTGTTGAGCCGCGGAACGGTATTCTGAGGGTCCCGGGTTCGAACCCCGGTCTTGCTGCACATTTTTCTTACCCGTGACATTTGGCGCCCAACGTCAGGCCGTGACTGATATAGCTCAGAGTTTGATTTACATTGCTCTGTAACTCTCTGAAATTCGAGGACGAATTTCAATACAGCAGGAGAGTATGTCACGGTTCAAAACTGTTCACTATTTAGGGGCGAAGATGTGTAAGCGGCCGGATAGCTCTGTCGGTAGAGCCGCGGAACGGAATTCCGAGGGTCCCGGGTTCGAGTCCGGGTCAGGCTGCACATTTTTCTCACCCTGTGACACTTTAGTAAACTGATTAGTAATCTACTCATTAACTTAAAAAACTCCCAAAACTCTTGACACTTTATCACTTTCATTCTGCAACGTCTTGTGTAGGGATGGAAATGAATGCAGAAATTGATAACTTAAAATTATTAACATATCTGATCCATAATATGTCCAAAACTTTAACATGTCTAATACAGTAACAAACTTTTAATGAAAGAAATTCAAAAATTTGCTCTTCTTTGCTTTTACGATAGCAAAATCAACTAAATGTGAATATACAGTAACTTGTTTTTACTTATCAATGTTTTGATTTAAGCCTTCACCAGGATAAATATATAAACAAACAACGGACATGACATAAAAATAGTTATCCATCATATTATTTGCTTTTCTAATTCGTATATTCTGCTGATTTCCAAAATTTGATCACCCTACTTAATTCTCAGTTAAACTCAACATCCTAAACTGCCAAGCCAACCTTACTCTTCAGACATAAAAATCTAAATATTTTTTATTATAAAACCATCACTTTGTGTGCAATAGGTGGTATTTATAGACATTTAACCATTGTTTATCGTACCTCTCTTATAGTCTGTAGATCCATAGGTTCCTTCACTATCTTGAAATAATCTGGAACATTCTTAGCACTAACTGGGTACAAAAATGGATGTGTCTATAAAAATAAAAGAAAATAATTCTTCTTATTTTACAAGCTTATTTCAAAATCAAAAGAGACTTATTTGGCTATTTCAATATATAAATATGATTGAAAAAGACTAGAAAAAAGTTTATTAACATTGGTGTCTACAATGACAGAATCATTGACCTTGGAAATAGAATTTGAACCAACTAATTATGCAAAGGAAACATTGAAAAGTCCACCTTTCCAGCTTTCCTAGAAAACAGGAAAATTACCTAGAAAATCAGCAGTTACCAATTTCTCTGAAAGTGACTGACTACTAATCTCAAGTGATTTCTGAATCAGTAGTGAGAGACAAATGACCATTATACTCAATGTCTGACATCAACTATCACAGAGAAATTTCGCCTTGCCCGAGGATAGAAGAAGCTACCCCTGTATTGCAAATCAAATGCTATCCTCATTGATCGTTAAGCGACAAGACATAGCCTTATGGCTGTTATACTATAAACTTACATTTGGCATGTCTCTCATTTCATTGAGCACTTGTTCAAATATACTAGACATTGTAACCACAGGATCTGCTCTCCTTCTATTAGCAGACTGTCTCGGCTTCTGTAAATGCAAAATTACAAATCAAAATTCATCACAATCATTTGCAGTTGTGGTTTAGCAAATGAAACCTTGTGGCCATGTTTAAAATTAATTTACCAAAATTGTGACAGCTTTGAGCTCATTAAAACAACGGTTGTATTAAATCAATGGGCAAACTAATACTGGTGTTATATAAGGAAACATGTTGGCCAAAATATGCGATTTTACCCATGGATCCAGGTTTAACAAGGAGACACTTGAGTCAATAGGTCATCTTCTACATTATTATGATGTTTTATGCAACATTTACTTAATTAGATCAAAAATGCAAAATATAATATTAGAAGCTAGATAATATAAAAGAAAACTGTATCTTTTAATTGTGGCATTTTTTAAATATTTGAGCTAAATAAATTATGGCATATTTGAGAAGTTACCTTTAAATAATCACAATGTATTGTTGTGCCTGCTTTCTTCCTTTTCTTAGATTCCATTGCTTGCTTTGGAAATTTCAATACCAAGGACTTTCTTTTTATTTGCTCAGCACTGAAAAATACAGTTACTTTTTCACACTCCACAAGAGAGATAAGATAAAAGATAGAGGTGTAACGATTCATCGATGCATCGATGCATCGCGATCTGTCTTGTCCCCGATGTATGCATCGTAATGAAATTCCAAATTCCAATATATTGCGATGCAATACATATTTCACCTCCCGATGTATCGATACAGCGGGGAGGTATCGCAATACACTAACAATATCTTCCAGGAATATAAGGACAAACGTATTTTTTGAAAGACTGAAGAAAGAAAAATAGCTCGGATGAAAACAATAAACAAGCGCGACTATTATCATACCATCGTTGTCATCTCGTTTCCCCATGTCCGCAATCATTTAACGGTAACTAACCAAGTTTTATCAATTCCATGTAAATGGGCTGGTGTTCTTTGAACTTGTTTATAATAAAAACATAATTAGAGATCTGTGCGATTTCAAGAAAATACAACCTACAAACATGAATTTTATTTTGTAGCATAAATGTCGGATTAAAATAGTGATGATGACAACATCCCCATGTGATATTCGTCACGTATTTATACTTTCATTTCTGTTGACATCATTTTCCCGTAAAAAAACAACAAAGCAAACAAACAGAAAACATGAAGACTGCAAAATATGTAGACGGGGAAATTACAGTCAATCCTCCCTGGTCATATAAGTCACGGGAGTTTTGGGAAAATTGTAGTTTTTGGGGAACCATGAGACAGTGTTGTATAATGTGGAAGACCGGACGGACATGGAGTGTTTGCAAAATCAAAATAAAATACTCTGGGGTTGAGCACAAATCTTTTGAGAAAACAGTGACTGAAACTTATAAACTGTCATTTTCACAGTTGTTGACCTAATTGTAGATCACTTGTTTCTATTTTTTTCACAAGAAAAATCTTTAGTGGTGTATTGTAAGACTGAAATTGTTAAACTGCCATATTTACAGTAGTGGACTTTAGTGTTAGAATAGCTAGTAGATATCAATTTGCTGTTATGGTTTAATTAAAAATACCTTTAATCCTCAAGTAATCAGAAAAGTAAATTGTTAAAAGATCAAAATCGGAAACCAAGTTATAACAACAAGTTAAAAGAGTTTATTTTTTTGTTATTGTAATAGTATTCTAATTATGCTGTAAACAAATGGCCAATTTTTATATACTAAGTCTAAAAGTCAGTATCGTGATACGTATCGCATCGCAACATAAGAATCGCAATATGCATCGCATTTCTTCAAAGTATGCAATACATATCGTGAATCGCATCGTTTTGAAAAACAAATATCGTGATATGTATCGGAACAGAAAAAAATGGCAATGCACAGCCCTAATAAAAGAATGACTGACATGATTTAACTAAGCAAACATTCTGAATTGTACAATAATTTTAATTCATATAATAAAAATTCATGCTAAAATGAGCCTGCCACCTACCATCACACCATACATTAGAATAGATGCGCAACATAATTAAATAGCTTTTTAAAAAAATTAAGACAAATACATGAATTTTTCCTCAATTGTTTTTCTTTTAAAGTTTCACCAACATTGTTAAGGACATACATGTATAACTTTACAATTTAACTACTAGAAGATGACTCAAAGTTGCTTCTCAATTCATTTTCCCAGATAATTTCAGATGCCTGGAAGAAACAACCAAACTCTATTTGTAGAAAAAAACTATTTAAAAAAAAATATCATAGAAGGCTAGATAATAATTAAAATTAAAACATACAAAAGTATACACATACTGTTCAATAAGACTTTTACTAAGTTTGAGTTTAGTGCCAACAACATCAACCAGTCCATGATCCTGTAAAGTTTCTCCTTGTTTCTCCTCTTCCTCCTCTGTCATGGCAACCTGGACTGGTGCAGGTGTACTGCCCAGTGTTTTATTGTAGTTAGGGCATTCCTTGTTAGTTCTCATGTGACCAGTCTGTCCACAGGCACCACACTTCATCTATATATGTACAATACAGAAACAGTCCAAATATAATCACAGATCTAGACTGATTCTAGAACAAAGACTACAGTTACAGGAATATCTAATAACCAAAATTTTGTAATGAAATCATATTATCTGAATGAAGTTATATTATAAGCTTTATTTGTAATATAAAACTAAAATGTATTTTTTTTCTATGTGAAGTGTTAGCTCAACACAGTCATATTACAAAATATTAAACAATAGTCTGATTTAATGATAAAAATAAATCCCATATGGGTACGCTTGTATGCCATATAAAAATTTCAAGACATGTTTCAACATTTAATCCTTATTCTGGTTGAACCCAATCAATTAGCCTTTGCAACCAGTATCTATCCAGGCCAACCTGCAATCCATGCAGTTTGACCAGGCTCTACACTGTCCCCTGACCGACCTTAAATTTTAATCTTGATATCCCGAAAATTGAAGGTTGACAAGTCCATTTAAGAAATTCAGCAGGTTAAGATATGTTTTAGTTTCTGGTAAACTCTTGGCTGTAAAGTCATCCCTATATAACCCAGACAAAATCATAAACATGATCCACCAATAAAAATAACTGCATGCATACCTTAGATTTTAATATTTGAACTTCTTTCTTTTTCTTCTTCTTAGAGGAGGTTTCTGGTAATGCCTTGTCTCTCTCTTCGTTTCTTTTAATACGTCTTAACTGTTCTTGTAATCTGTATCATTACAATCAAATAGTGACAATCAATGTAATACTCGTAAAGAAATTATTCTATGTATTTCACACAACAATATTATATGATACCAATGTACTTGCAAAAGAGGAATATTATGTTTACATAGTAATTACCATATTGGTTATTTTAATCAAATTGACAAATTATACAGATATGAAATAAATTTTGAATAAGGTACATGTATATATACAATTCATATGGTCAATGGTAAATGATATCTAACATACCCAAAACACTTTGTTCTTGACAAATTTGGAGGAGATAGCCTGCTGTACTCTTATACTCTATTAGTTAACTATTATCTACAGTACTATGTAGTGATTTAATATCAACATAAGCCTGCATTACCTTCTTCTCTCCCTTCTCATCTCTTCCTTAGCAGCATCATCCATTGTAGCAAACTGTTTACTGTAATGTCAAAATATCTTATCTTAATCTGCTGATGTTTCATTGATAAATGACGTTTTTAATGATCCTATACCTCAATTTTTTTATGGTATTATATCATAAATATGATGCTCATTTTAAGACTTATCAATATTTTAAGTTCCAAAAAGCATTATTTGTAAAGATATTACCGAATTTACATTTCATGTAAATAAAGAGAGGTAATTAGAAATTTATTTTCGATAAAGTCTAAGCCAAATTTTTCAATAAGAAATGAATGCATATATTTCAACGATTACTTATAATGCGTATAAACATTTGCAGTACATATTTTCAATTAACATATTCTTGAATGTTTAGAAATTGTTTTAGATAATAATTATATACATATATAAAATTTCACTTAAGTGTTGTTACATCCTTAATTACAACATACAGGATCTTTAAAACAAGTAATGCTTTGTTACGCTAAGAAAAACAGATGTCTGTTCCTTATAGCAGAGCATTAAACAATACTTTCAAAATTTTCTATCTTTAAATTACTATCCATGTTTCACCTTGTGCATATGGTATATTAAATATTCACTTGGGGCAGATAAAACTCCCTCTGTATCTTATATTTAGCAGTTATCTTATGTGAACAATTCTTCCAGTAACTTACATAAAATTAGGGTCTTTTGTTTTCTGTATGCGGACATAAGCATCAATAACAGCTGGTTTCAGGACCCACTCCACTCTAGTAAACTCTCTGCCATTGTCATCTACAAACACTCGAGTAATCTTTAACTTCTTGCCAGTCTATAGGGAAAAAAACATACACATTAGCATTTACTTACCAATATTCTGTATTTCTACAAGAATTCTATATGGTTAGTAGTTTTCTGATCTTCTACAAACATTTTCCTAAGACTGAACATATTTTAAAATCTTATCTGTATTAAAATTAACCAAAGGGAAGTATATTATAACATATGAAAATAAATGTCTTTTCACTAAATAGGTGATATATTTTCATGTGGCTTTTCTTTATGCTTTCAATATTGGCTAAGCTGGCACTTCTTAAATATGAATCTGACAAAATTTTGACAATCACTAATGAAAGAAACCACTGGCATATACTCAATATTCAAAGAGCTTGGCACAAAACAATTACATTTCCGAAGACTTATGTGAATTAAATGCGTTTAGCAAGCCCATATTTAACCACCACGTTCCTTTGGTATATATATATATTAGTGTAAAATGATCAATATGGAAATGTAATCATTTATATACATACAACATTAGCCATTGGATCTTCTTCTTGTTTAGATGAATCTTTCTTTTGTTTATCATCTTTACCTTCCATCATCATTCTTTGTAACTCCCTCCTCTCTGCCTCTTCTCTCTCCATCTTTATCTGAAGTTGGTTACCATGGTGTTATAATTTATTATATATAATTATGTTTGTTTCTTTTGTTTGATTGGGTTTTATGATACATAGACACAGTATAGGTCATATGGCAACGTTCCAGCTTTACTGATGGAGGAAGACCTCAGGTGCCCTTCCTTGCATTCTTTCAGGCACGTTCAGGCACCTGAGTAGAACCACACATGTTACGTAAGCTAGCTGAATAGCTTCCTCACATGAAAGAATCCAAAGTCCCTGTCAGGCAGTGAGGGGCAAGTGGTTTGAAGTCAACAACCTTAACCACTTACTTATATAACTAGAACTATCGCTGAATGCGATTCATACCCCCACCAATGTCCTTGACAGAAGACCACCTGGAAAGGTGGTTAAGGGAATAACTTATGTGGCACAAATACATAAAAAGAAATTATCTCTGGTGAAAATAAGACTAATTGTTCAGGTAATAGTATAAATATATATTATCAAATCATGTTCGAAACAGGTACAAATAACCTTTCATTTTCCCAATGTATTAAACATTTTATTTATAAGTCAATTTTTGACCTTTAAGTGTGGCCTTGGCCTTAATCTGGCACAAGAGTAAGATGGGTTTTGCACATCACCCAGTTTGGTTGAACATTTGAGTGAAGTTTGAAGAAAATCCTTCCATTAGTATAGAATTTATAGAGTAGACACAATATATTGTCTAGAATTGGTTGTATGTAAATTTGAAGACTTAAAAAGGGGCATAACTTTGTCAAAATGCAATACATAGTAATGAAACTTGACCTGCATATCTTATTTGCCACACCTCATATATCTTTTAAGTTTCAAGCAAATGCCTGCGCTAGTTTCAGAATTATTCAAGTACATGTTAAAATTTAAGAACATTTTCTAAGTCAATTTTTGACTTTCAAGTGTGACCTTGACCTTTAGCCGGCACAAAGGTGACATGGATTCTGCACATAACCTTGTTGAGGTGAAAATTTGAGTAAAAGTTGAAGTAAATTCTTCCATTAGAATAGGATTTATAGAGCGGACACAACATATTGTCTAATATTTGATTGTATGTAAATTTGAAGACTTAAAAAGGGGCATAACTTTGGTAAAATGCAATACAGAGTTATGAAACTTGAACGAACAGCATATCGAAATTGTGACCCTTCAAAAATATTTTAAGTTTCAAGCAAATACCTTTTCTAGATTTAGAAATATTCAAATAAATGTTAAAATTTAAGAATATTTTCTAAGTCAATTTTTGACTTTAAAGTGTGACCTTGACCTTAAGCCAGAAAAAGAGTGACATAAATTCTGCACATCCCCTGGTTGAGATGAACATTTGAGCCAAGATTGAAGAAAATCTTTCAATTAGTGTAGGACTTACAGAGCGGACATGACATACTGTGTAATACTAGATTGTTTGATATTTGACCTTCAATTGTGACCTTGACCTTGAGCTGACACATGGGCAACATGAATTCTGCACATCCCCTTGTTGAGGTGAATATTTGAGCCATGTTTGAAGAAAATCTTTCAATTAGTGTAGGACTTACAGAGCGGACACAACATACTGTGTAATATTTGATTGTTTATTATTTGACCTTCAATTGTGACCTTGACCTTGAGCTGGCACATGGGCAACATGGGTTCTGCACATCCCCTTGTTGAGGTGAACATTTGAGCCAAGTTTGAAGAAAATCTTTCAAGTAGTGTAGGACTTACAGAGCCGACACAACATACTGTGTAATATTTAATTGTTTGATATTTGACCTTCAATTGTGACCTTGACCTTGAGCTGACACATGGGCGACATGGGTTCTGCACATCCCCTGGTTGAGGTGAACATTTGAGCCAAGTTTGAAGAAAATCTTTCAAGAAGTGTAGGACTTACAGAGCGGACACGACATACTGTGTAATATTTGATAGTATTTGATATTTGACCTTCAATTGTGACCTTGACCTTGACCTGACACATGGGCAATATGGGTTCTGCACATCCCCTTGTTGAGGTGAACATTTGAGCCAAGTTTGAAGAAAATCCTTCAATTGGTATAGGAGTTATAGAGCGGACACGAAAATGGAGACGGACGGACGGACGGACGGACGGACCGACCGACCGACCGACCGACGCGAAAAAGCGAATCCATTATAGCCCCCCCACATTTTGTGGTGGGGGTATAATTATAAAAATGGTGTTTTTTTATGACTTTTATACATATAGAAAAGGATAAAATGGACTTCAAGATACAAGTTATCTTGAAAGTTTGACACTGCACAAATAATGTGGACAACATAGAATAGGAACAGTGACAGAATACACAAAGGTACAAAAAGTTTTTGAACATGAATTAATTTCCCAAATTATATAGATTTTTTCTTTAAGCTCTTCAGTGTAACATTATTGTTAGGATCAAATGAGTTTTCACAGTCATCTTTCTAAGGTTTTATATATTTCATATATTCCAGCAAAAACATTTTTAAAGCATTTTTGAGCATTTTTTTAGAGTAAAACATACTATACTATTTTTCAAGTAGAGTTAAATGTTATGGCCAGCTACACTGTATACATCCAGTGCATCAATAAGTTTACTAACATATGTGTAAGCCGAATTTCCAAATCATAAATAACCATCATATCTCCATAATTTCTTAAATTTTATACTAAAATATTGACTCATAAAGATAAATATTAAACAAACATCTATGATTACCTGAGAGCTAGTTTTCTTATTTGAGAGCATACTTTCTAAGTTTTTCCCTATCTCTTCAAACTCAGAATCCTCAGAACTTGAAGCTTCATCTGTAGATAGATGTTCCGCTGATGAGAGAATCCTGAAATATAAAATATAACTTCTCTCTCTTATCTTTCATCCACAATTCACAAATCTTATACAAATCTTGTAATCATTCATTTACAATTACAATGCTGATATTGTTTGGTAAAACTTATTCTCATATAATTTTGGAATAGTCCATTGTAAGGTAATTGGGTTACAACTTGAAAATTTTATAATTAACAGAGTTGTTCAGATCCCATCATTGTCTTGACCTACTTAGCTGTGTTCGTACCAGTTATTCCTATTCTGATAGCACATGCATGCCATTGTAAGAATTTAGCCTTAAATAGATTTAAACAAATGTTGGTAAACGTTTCACTTACTAAAATTATTGCCCATCCACTCTAAAGACAATTAAAATAATAAACTATAAGAATACTTAAGTCAATCAAAGAGCATGTATTCAATCTGTCAACCATGCTGTGCCTTTGTACATACACAGATACTATATACAATCTACCAAATGTATGAAGGAATTATTATAAAACTAATGACAAAATTTAAGTTCAGAATGAACAGATTTTATAAAGAATTAAAATAAGTCACAAACTTGTTCTGTAAGTCAAAGAGTCTCTGACACTCTTCCTTGTAACGTTCCTGGTGTTCTGCCACTGAGAACCTGTTACCTCGAGCAAACTTGTTCCAGCCCCCACCTTCCCCTATCTCCTGCTGGGCCGCAGCTTTAGCCTGCTCTGTCGACATTGTCCTCACTACATCAATCACCTCCCATCTTGATAGCTTCTTTATCTGTATAGTCATAAACAAATGATTGATAAAATACTACTTTCTCGTTTTAAGTTGATCAATAAAATTAATCTATAGTGCATCATTATATAACATTTGATAAGGTGAAATGTAAGAAAATAGCCTTATTAACTAATGAAATGTTAATAATATCAAAAATATTTTAGTGATTTCTAAATTGTTGACAATACATTCCCACACTGAAATAAAATTAATTTTATAAGTCTGGAATCTAACTTAATTAATTTGTCTTATAAAATATCATTTTCTGTTAAATTCATTATGTTGATTCTATATTAAGTCTCAAAAAATCAAATTTTCTCCTCTCTAAAAACAGAATATACATTGTATATACCTCATGTTCTGGTACACCATATTTTCTGAGAATATTTTTGGCATCTTTGAGGTAGAGTTTTCTCAGATCAGCATCAGTTCCTGTGACAGTTTTCTTCTGTGGTGTGTTATCTTTGCCCTCATCTCTCGGCTGTGGTTTGTTAGGTACCTAAATAGATCAGTCATATAAGCATTTCAATATGACGTAAAGACGGTTCTTAACGTAGTTAGTGTAATGTGCTATTTTCATAGATTTTCATATATGCTTTCCATTGATTTAAAATAAAACACATTCCATCTGTACAGAATGCTAATATCAGATGCATCAGTTCTATAACAAGAGTACTATGTTATGTTGATTTCTAAAAACAGTTAAAAACATTATCATCATAACATCATTTCACAGCAATTAAATAACTTGAACAAAATCAATACACTTTCAAAGACATTAAACAGTCAGCATATCATACAAAGGAGTAAATTATTTTTGTGTTAAAAAAAAAATCACAAATTAACAAGAGCTGTCAGTAAGACAGTTTGCTCAACTGTTCTTGGTGCTTGATCCTGAATAATATAGAATTTTGTAAGTTCAAAAAGGGCCATAATTCTGTCAAAATCCATGTTAGAGTTATAGGCCTTGGACAGTGAATTCCTATTATACTCTTTAATAAGAGTGTGAAGTTTAAACCTATTCCTTTCACAAGTTTTGGAAGCAAAACTTGCCTGCAAAAACTTAACCAAAATATGACTCTGCCGCCTGGTAAAGTCAAGCTCAAGATTTTTGTTAGCAAATAATAGGTGGAAAGTACATTTAGTAAAATCACTAAGTCTCTGTTGACCAAATGAATGATATCCCTTATGCAAATCAGCAACTATTTTCTCAATAAGACCTAACATGGAAGAAATACCTTGATATAGGAAAATCCTTCCCCAACACCAGTTGGGTCGGCTACACCATTGAGATCTAATAAACATTTGCCTTTCATTGCCGAGATATAAGCTCGTGTAGTGTTCCAGGGAGCTGTCTTCACCTGAAATAGAAGATATTGAATGAGTATAAGTTTAATACTTAAGTTTATTGAAAGAGTTGGATAATATTATTCTATTCAACAAGAAATGAACTTACACAAATTTAATATTCCATTTATCACATACCATAAATAAATACTGTGTGAAGTGAAAAAGAACCATTTTTCATTGACGCGGCTATAGCATTATGCTAACATTTAGCGCACTGTGACACTATGTTTACATAATGCAAATGGAGACACATCAAAATATATGCACTGCCGTACAATACCATTTTTTAGGAGTCGTAAAAGCAGCACTGGTATGTGACAAATAGTCATATCATATAACAAACTGCATTACAAGTCATTCAAAACATAACTGTTTGTGGAAAATGTAAATTAATACCACCTATAGATGTATATAAACATTTTAATCTTTATCAAGATAACTTCTCATAGCTTTAAAAATTACAATTACACTATTCTTGATTCTGATCAATACATTTGATTCATTGTTAAGTCTTAAAGTAAAAAAATGACCATTAACAGTTTAGTGGAAAGATACTTTTAATACTTTGCAACTTTGGTTATATAAACTTAAAACCATTTCCGCCATATAAGTCATTAAAAAAGTTATAATAACCAACAGTAAAATACAGAAAATGGTGGATATAGAAGAAAATGACCTTTAAAAAGTTTACTGGAAAGGTATTTTTTAATACTTTGCAACTTTGGTTATATAAACTTAAAACCATTTGGGCCATATAACTCATCAAAAGAAGTCTTTATAAACGATAGTAAAAGACAGAGAATGTATGATATATACCTCATCTTCAATCTTCATCTGTGTTTCCTCTTCATTATCTTCTTCAGGTGCTAGGAATGATTTCTCTCCATATCCTGCATCCTATATACACAAAACAGCAAGGTTACATCTAGTCTTAATATGAGAGAAGAATGTTTTACACACAGACCACCGATTAATGAAAATACATGTTTCTTTTGATAACCTAATATATACTTTTAAAGATTACAGTTGTAATATCTAAAAATCAAATGACCTTTATATAAATAGACAAATATAGAATTATGTTGTCACGCCTTTGTTATTCTCAGTTCTGTTATTACATACATTCAAGGCATTAAAAATTATATAAATGTTCAGCTAGAAAAAAAATATATTAAAAATCCTTAAAGATATACTATGCTCATCTTTGTATAAAATAATTTTATCGACGAAATTCATTAATATCTTAATTGTGACACTTCATATATATTTTAAGTTTCAAGCAAATACCTTTTCTAGTTTCAGAAATATTCAAATACATGTTAAAATTTAAGAATATTTTCTAAGTTAAAGGGACTCCACTGAGGTTTTTTGATATGACGGGACTGGAAATTCTTTTTTGAGATTATTACTCCATTTGATGTAGATCTATACTAATAACTTATGTGCAAAATTTCAGATCATTAGCTCACTCCGTTTTTCCAGAATGATTATTATAAGAGTGAAAAATGACCCAAAATTGAAAAGCATTTAAACGCTTTTCACTCAAACCGGACGGAGAATAGCACAAACATATGATTTTCAATGTATTTCTTGGTTATATTTTATTTATATTTCTGTTTTAAGTGCTCATGTTTATCTATGTGAAAAATTAAAATTTTATGTTTTTAGGCTTATAAACCGCAGTGGAGTTCCTTTAATTTTTGACCTTCAAGTGTGACCTTGATTTTAAGCCGGCAAAAGGGTAACATGTGTTATGCACATCACCTTGTTGAGGTGAACATTTGAGCCAAGATTAAAGGAAATCTTTCAATTAGTATAGGACTTACAGAGCGGACACAATATTCTGTCTAATATTTGATTGTTTGATATTTGACCTTCAATTGTTACCTTGACCTTGAGCTGACATGAACATTTGAGCCAAGTTAGAAGAAAATCCTTCAATTGGTATAGGATTTATAGAGCGGACACGATAATGGAGACGGACTGACCGACGCGACAAAGCAAATCCATTATAGCCCCCACCCCCCACATTTTGTGGTGGGGGTATAATTATATTAATATAAATACTATATTACCTTTAGTCTTTGTTCAGCAGCCAGCATGCTATAATAACCACAACATTGTTCTGGTGACACCATATTTCTCATCTCTTCCTCCGTCTTCAACCGGAAATCTGGCTTCAACACCCACCAGTTTGAATCCATTCCTATGTAAATCATCAATAACAACGTCAGTTTACAATATTTAGAAGCTTAGAAAAATTTGTATACTTATACAATTTTTTGTACTACATGGCTGTTGTCCACATCAGAATTATTTGTGTAGCATCTGAATTTGTGTAATTGATATGGTGATTTTGTCATAGAAAAAAAACATCATGAGATTGGCTTAGTGTCTTCCAAATAGGAGTCTTACAATTAAGACAGTATGTCGACTATCCAGCTTCGATTTCACAGAATGATGCCCCTTTAAGTCAATCTTTTTTTCATAAAATAGTTGAATAACATCTTCACATGAAGAAATTCAACATTCCTAAGGCAGAGTTAAACCTACATCTGTTGAGGGGCAAGTGATTCAATGATTTCAAAATTTTCAACTAGACCAAGGAAAAAACTAGACCAAGGAAAACCACCTAGATTTCATATTAGGGACCAAAGCCTTAATACTAGCAGTATTACTATACTAGTTCTAATAGCAAATCTGAATTCTTCAATAATTATTATGTGTTATATAAGTTAAAACAATACAATTTTTTTATTCCTTCATAGTATCAAATGGAATAAATATTTAAATCATATTTAAAACATTTTTTTTTTTACAGAAAGTTCAACAGTATTCAACATGTAAATATATAGGTTTATTCAATGTTCTATATAATAAATGAATTCCTTGTGCTTTAGTAACTATTCAACTGATGACAATAAGCCATCAAGCACAAGTGTGTGTGCGTGTGCAAGGTAAACAAATATGTAACTTCTACAAACAGAAATCCTTAAGAGCAAAAAAAGTGACCAGCAAACAAAATATAAAATAACTATAGTCACTTTCAACAATTCAGAGATAATTTCAACACTGCATCCTATTAAAGGAAACTTACCATATTGTCTAGAATAAATTTCTATATAGTCAAAACAAAGATCTTGTTACATTTCATATTTACATTTATAAATAAAAAATAATCAAACCACGGACAGAGCAATACTTTCAATTACTTTTTTTCCGTGTGTCAAAAGCCAAACTATGATACTTTTCGTAAAATACATGGACCAGACAAGGAAATGTGATAACTCCTTTTATAAATATTCAATGCAGATGACAAAATAATATGGTTATTATAAGATGGCCAATACAAAATATTACAACTGTATTGTTAAGTTTCTAAAGTTCTTCCACTGAAAAACTTTTCAAACCCATTATATCATTTTGTCCCTTTTTTTACATTGTATATTGGATATGTTCATTAATACATTTTTAAAGATATATTTAATATTCTTTATAGATATCATAGAAACGGCTAAAACATTATTAATACAAACCTGTTCGCTTGAAGTCTGCACAAAGTTTCAACCTTTTTCTTATACTGCTTTCAGAGTGGGAGGGGAATGCTTTCTTAATGTCATCCATTTTAATTCTCCTTGGGTTGTCTTTACTTTTCCAAAACAACCGGTATATAAACACCTGAAAAATTCAAAACAGATTTAATACACTCTCATAATAAAGTATCTGAAACACAAAATTATCAGATTTATCAATATCTGTATAATTAAGAACTATATTGAATGAATACTATAAATATTAACGCACGGAAGCTAATTGTCTGTTATTTAAAGAAAACTGGAACTCCTATCTTCAATTATTTCTATCTACCCGAAGTTAATAAATGCAAAAATCAGAATGAATTCTAGATTTAAAAGGAAATTATGCCTTTTTTGTTCAATAAGATGGCTGGTAAAATTGTTTGGGTTTTTTTCTGAGTCTTTACAACATGCAATACTTATGACAAAAAAAATGGCATAAGTTAAAAACCCTACATTGTGCTGTATCAAGCAATATATAATTTTTCAAGTTTTCCAAGATCAATTGAACCTCTTTTACATTCCATGCAAGCTTTATCAAAAACAGTTTGTTTCTTGTTGTTGTTTTTTTTTTCAAATACCTGAAGAAAATCTCTGATAAAATTATTTGCTCTCTTTGAATTTGGCCCAGGTACTTCATACAGAGGACTCTGTTGACCTACACAGAATATCGTCTCAAGATCACGGATATAAAATCTGAAATTATACAACAAAAAATAAATTCTAAACTGCTTTCCTTAATCACAAATACATAAAGATCTATAAATATCATTTATGACAATATTTGATAAACAAAAGTTGTTTTTTTGGAATACATAAAGTCAGAGAATACTTAATAAACAACAAAGAATATATACAAATTGAAGACAAATTGAAGCTATTATAATCACTGCTTTGATGTTGTCTTCATACAATTTAATGTACTAGCTCATTATCTAACACTGCATGAGTTACTCTTGCAGTGTTATGTTTTGTAAACTTGAAACAGAAATAACAAGAAGTAAAATGATAAATTGACAACATACTGGTTTCTGGTTCTTATAATGAGGAAGTCGGTGGCAGCCACTTTATGTTCATAGATTGGAGCTCTAAACATGTTGTTCTCTAAAGCCTGCTGACACTGGCCAGGAACCAGAGAACCTAGGAATGGAGAGGAATGGGCATACGCTATCTCTCCATATTTGTACTGTGGAGGTACACTATCTTTGCCTGGTTTCTAAAAATAGAAGGAAAAAATGACACAGTCATGTCCGAAGAAAAAAGTATTTATAAAGTACAAAGTTCAACTCCCATTAAAGCACATTTAGAAAGTTCCTGCACATAAAGAAAATGTTTTCTGAGCTAATACACAAACTTAATATGATATTTTCAACAGGTTGAAATATCAAACAGAACAAATATGAGATGTTTTGTACGGAAAAGGATTTTTATTAAGTCAAAAAAAGATGCATTTCTTGAAATTTCTAACTTCCTTTTTTCCTTTAATAAATTTTGTTAAACAGAAAGATTCAGCATTTCAAATTATATGTTCATGTATATATGTTCCCTGAAACAAAAACTTACCCTTTTATAATAATTTTTGATTTTTGTTGCCATGCCAATCTGCATCATCAGGGGAGGATACTCCTCCGAAAATTCACAAAGAATAAGTTCCCCGTCTTGACCGGTTAAATCCTGTGGTGTCCGCATGAAGAATATCTCACCACCTCCAAATGCTTGTCTTTCCTGATCTCTTAACTAAAAATTACCACACACAAAATATTTGAAACTGAAAATTCTTAACAAGTATTGAAGTAATAACATGCTCAAAATCACTTTCTCTTCCTTTCATTTTAATAACTTTAAATAGAGACATAGAATCTTTCACATACACTAAATCTTTACTTTGATTTAAAAAAAAAATCAAATATAATGCTTAAAAATATTCTCCGACACAAGAAATCCCTTGCAATATTTACGTGTAGTTGTTTAATTTGTTTCATGTAAAAAACAACTTTGTTATTAGCATTTAAGTTAGAGCAAACAGTTATCTGGTAAGTGCTCCAAGTTTCTGTACCAATTACAACTTATCTTACAAATCATACAAGTAGCTGCCAAAATTTCATGACAGAACATTTTAAAATAAATCTTCAAGACAAGCATATGCTCTGCTTACATGTTTTAAATCCTAGGCTCACAGACCTGACAACATCATTATCTTTACTCATACAGAATAACAAGGTTACTTGTGATGCTACATATAATCTTTTTACAGAATACATAATGTCCTTCACTTTTCTTATTTGTGAACAAATATGTCGTTGACCTTCTTGATGTTAAACAGAGTCATGGAAGGGACATGGAATTTTTCATTATTTACAAACTAAATATATTTGAAACTGAAAATTCTTAGAGCTTTTGTGTCATGTACAGAATTTAACAAATAATATCATATTCAAGATTACTTACCCTCGCTTTCCTTTTGATAACTTTAAACAGGGAGTCGACAGAGTGTGGACCATGAGTAGCTAGAGCACCGTGTGAGTATTTCTTTAAAGGGTTACGATGAAATGTCCGTAGTTTAGTCTCACTGAGGAATGTCGGGAAGAACGGTTGTTGTAACTCAACAGCTGGCGTAGAGTGCTGGAATTGTACAAAAAATTTTGTAAACATAAAACTAGTATGTACTCAAAGAAAAGGTTATAAAGACAAATATCAAAGCACTAGACAGCTTATTTTGTTTATAAAAAAATCTAAGATTGTGGAGATATTCATCAAAAGGCAAAAAATTAATTCTGAGCTTGAATATAGGTACATATTTATAATTAACAGAAGTATTTTTAATACGACCATGTCTGTTTCATATAGTGGTTGCTATTATGGCATATAAGTCAGTTATGAACATTTTTCCTACCACAGGGGAAAAGCTGCTATTACAATTTGATAATAAGTCATATATTTTATACAGATTATGAGAATTATATGTAAAAGTTTGAAATGATGTCCATTAGAGGTGCGTTACCTTTAATCAGTAACTACTGACATTTCTATCTAAAATCATTCTATGAAAATAATTAACAAAAACCTGTCACAAATTTTAATATGAATAAGAATACAAAAATCTTTTAATTATTTCATTGTATTATGAACTATATACATGAGAAATTATTTACCTGTATAAGATTAACACCCATGTTAGATCGTAGAGCTGTATCTAGTAGTTTAGGGTTATAAAACTCATCATTTGACATATTGAATGGATCAATGTTGGAATTACTCTGTTGTGTATTCTGGGGGAAAAAATAATTTTTGCATATCAGGAAATATTTACAATAAAAACTAAAAACTACAAATGTCGACACAATCTATAAACTTTGGTGATCATACCTTTATTTATCCTAATCTGAGTGCTTAATATAATACCAAAATGACTGCTAAAAGAAAATACAATTTACAAAGTATTTCAACAATTTATAAATTAAAGTTTGAATTTCAAAAGCATGATATTCCAGGCATATTTATGCTTATTTTCAGACCTTTAGAAGATTCAAACAATCCAAAAATTAGTATCAATTACGACAGGAAAAGTAATAAGATTGAAAGTTAAGCTGAAAACTTAGATGTTGTTTACATATGCTTTTAATTAGTGTGGAACTTTGTGGTTTTTAACAAAACAAAACAGTTTTAATCTGAAACTGGAGTTGACTTCTATATTCATATTTATGTTATTAAGGTGAAAATGTGTACAAACATGTAAGAGTTACAGCCCCTTGAATACTTACATCTTCCTCCTCCTCATCCTTGATAATACCTGCCTTTCCTAGTAAAATACGAGATTTCTTCACCTCTGACTGAAATATTCAAATATTTACCAATAAACATTCCATCTATTACACACTGCACTTTATAGAAATACTTGACTATAAAATACTTCTAAGATAGAAAAAGAAAACTGAACAGAAAAAGAATTCTAGCAAGAACTTAAATATTTCCCCAAAAAGACCATGTTATTAAGCTGTTGAAAAGTGAACATTTTGAAAGCATTTGATTACAAGACAAATGACATGTAATTAAAGTATTCAAGATTTTAATATGGCAAAATTCTGAACACCTCTATCCAACATTTATTAGATTTTGTTGTTTATAAGGTTTTATAAGTTTTTTTATGCTAGAAGTGTGAACTGATTTAAGAAGAATTCTACCAAGCTATTTTTGATAAACCAAGTAGCATACAAAACACATTATAAAAATGAAGGAAGACTGCAACAGCACATGTATTTGAAAATGAAATGAAACAAATGTACTTGTATGAATCAACAACAATGTAAACACATATTTGATCAAAGTACTAATCTCAAAACTACCATGTCTACAAAAAAAATTCATACTCTCCTATACCTGACATGATATACATGAAATTTGGAATCATGACTACATAAAAGTACAACAAAACTATTAGACTACCTTCTCTTTTTTGGCTGGTGTCTCCGGTGCACTCGGATCTTTATCTTCTGGTATCTCCAGTATAATATTGTCATCATTAGGATCTATGGTCAATGTCTTTGGGGATGGAATGTAATCCATGTTCTAAAATATTTAATAAAATACTACTTAAATTCTTGAATAACATGTCAAACTTAGTTGTTGTTGTTTTTCTTTTAAAGTCTTTTCTTCTTTTTTTGTTGTTTTTGGTTTTTTGGTGTGTCTTTTTTTTTGGAGGGGGTGGGTTGAGGGTTGGTCATACTAACACAGTCAAGATGTATAAATGACTTAAAAGTTGAATGTGTAAAAGGTTATATATGAATTCAGACTTGAATTATAATACCAAAATTCACTTTTGAAAAAATGAATTCTGAGATCAGCTAACATCTTCATTATTTTCAAATAACAAGTTTTTGATCATGACTTAAAACAATTTTTAACCATACAATAATGCTGTAAGCTTTTCATAAGCCTTCTGTATTATATTTACCAGATGTAATAATACACAGTAAAGCTTCATTTATCAGTAAACTAAACAAAGACTGGTCTTTACATGCAGGACTAAATTGGACTTACAACTCTATCGTTCAATAGATAATCATACATTTTTATAATAAAGAGTCATACATTTTTAATCAAACAACCACAATAGCTGATATTGATAAAATTTCATTGGATAACAGGGATAATGGCCATTCTGCTTTCCCCTACTCCAGGATAGAGGCCAAACTACAATATACTAGCATAGGTTACCTCGGCATCCCATATAATCTCATCTTCCCAGTTACCATACACAAGATCTTGGTTCTCTATTGGAAATATAGAAAACCACTTGTTGTTTTTACCCTGCTCTGTCAGACATCCTCCTGGTGTTTCTGTAAACAAGCAAGAAATAATTTCAAAATTTCTATAAAATCATTTTTCACTCCTTATAAAGATCTGAAACAAAGTGATCCCTAGGAAGCATAATAAGAATCGTTTTAGAATATGTGAGTCCTTTTGAAATGGCATCACATTTTGAAAGTGAATAAGTCTATTAAGTCTGTAGTGAATGACTTTGATAGTTCCTAAGAAAATTGACCTTAACAAAAGGGGTAACAAAGGAAACTAAGGAATAGCAGTTTTGTGGCAATCATACAGCAAAATTGTAATACCACTCATATGTACAATATACAAAAAAATGCATATGATTCATACATAAATACATTTTTTTTTCACATAAATGAATAACAATTAGATGATGTTTCTAACTTTAAAACATGATGTACTGTAGTATGTAATGGTAAATAAATATTTGAAATAATACTAACCTGGTTTTTGTCCAAACTGCCCAGATATAGATCTCATGATGGGTAGATTGCCAGGTCCTAACCTTGTCTGTAATCCAGGACGATCTGAAATACAGATTGTGTCAATAAATACAATACTCCTCTACGAAAAACTAATGTGAACATTGACGTCCTAAATAAAGTCATGTGACTATTGTTTAAATCACCGAAGAGAAACAGTTGGAGCATTGATACAATCCAATTTCAATAAAAAAATCTTTAAATAAATCTGTTTGTCTTATCATTTATATATGCATGGTCAGTTACTAAATTTACTAAATGTGATCATGTACAGGAAAAGAGACATTAAAACATTAAAAACTGACAATTTGCTATCTTAGAAGAAAAATTTTAATGATTTATTACACAAGTTTTATAAGGAAGAAGTTCATATTCACCAAATTTTACTTTTGTAACTGCCCTGGATTCTAAAATCCTCCAATATAATTAATTATAAATGTCAAACAGTAGTCCAAGTATTAAGACTTATCAAAGAGACATCAAGATAACATTGGATAAGCTACAATAAGATAGACAGTTCAAGCCAATTTAATTAGGATAGTCAAACAGTCTATGCTGAAAACTCCTAAATCCTCTAGGCTTATAATATCTTACACTGCTGGAGATAGTGGGCAGCTGTTCTGTGGCTAGTACTGGGGATCCAGCCCGCAGCTAGTGGTCTCATTTTCTGTGCCTGCATCACTCTCTGTCTGGCCTCCTCACCACTCCAGATTATATCGTCCTCCCACTGTAGCTGTGTTATCATGAGGAAGGCCTCGTCTGGAATATCTGGTGGTGGTTCATGTTTCACCACTGCTTCATCCTCAGTTACAGGCTCTTCTTTCTATTGAAAAAATATGAATATGAATATTATCAAGCATAAAACAAAATTCATCACTTATAGCATATTACATAAGTACAGTAAAAATATTACAATTGCATGGGTGCAAGTTAAAAATTATCAAAAACCCTTAAAACACTGAATTTAGTTTTACTTCAATTAATTTTATATAGGAAAAAGGTTGCTGTCAGGAGTAGAAAAAAACCTGAACTTTTGGAAAATGCCTGAAAACTTGTACCCATGTAATTGTTTAACATTTTCTAAAGAATTCTAAAAGACAGGAACAAATAAAAGCTGTACAAAATAACATTGTTATAATAAACAAGTTCTAAATTAAGAAATATTAACAACATAAAAAGTTTACTGCAACTGGATTTCTTCAACAGTTTTCAAATAATGTTGTCATTTTTTATCATCATTTTCTTTTTCTATATATGCAATTAGAACTTGAAAACAGCATATTGAAATGCACTTTCAAAATTCATACTTACAATCTCTTTAGCTGCCATTCGTTCTTCATTTTCTTTTTTAACCTTAAACCCATAGTCAAATCCTTCCCCAGTTTCATTGATCCCTAACATGTCGTACCAGTACTGGGCTGGGCCATACCTCCACGGGGCTACATCAATGTCACCTTCTTTTGTACCACCCTCAGATTTCTTGTCAGATTTTGATACTGACCCTGATTCCTTCATCTTTAATAGCTCCTGTAAATATATGAGATGTTTGAAGAAATAATTGTAATAATAAATATCAGGGCTCTCGTTTGCTAAAATTTAGGGCCGAATATGGGCTCCATTCCCACATAAAAATAGTGTGTTTTTTCCCCCCTTAAACCATAAAAATTCTGACTCGAAAATAATACTTAACGGCCATAGATCAGGGATCATGTTTTTAAGTTGAATTTTTTAAAAAGTATCAAAGCTGTATTCAATTTCATTAGACTAAATTTCATTAACCTAAATATTTCATGACAGCAGCTTATTGTTGATAAATTTGTTAAATGAATCTTGTTTTCACTTGTTTTTAATGAATTAATTTTCTTCTATTGAAATTCCCCCATGAACGAAATAATAAGCATTTTACAACTACTTTGTGCATGCACCATCCACTCTTAAGAAAATATACAAACATGTTTGTTTCAATCAGATATTTTACAATTACTTTTTTTTCAAAATTTAAGCAATACTTTTGTAAATTACCGGCAGCAGATGTACAGCTTTATAAACTTTTAAACTAGTATTGTGCACAGTTATTGAATTATAGCATGAATAACTATTAGAGTGAGACTAAAACAGGATTGGAGCACCACACTGAAAACATTATTCCGCTATATCCCTGACAAGGCGTTTGAATGATAAAATGCTAAAATCTCTTAAATTCTCACCCAATGGAATGAACTTTAAAACGTCTAATTCACGTCTCCACACCGATTTATAAATGTATATACAATAATGAATGGAACAAGAGCTGTCGGTAGGACAGCAACGCTCAACTATTCTTAGTGCTTGATAGTAAAAAAAATTCTTGATACAATTACCTCCTCCTGTTTACAGGTTGGGGTAATGATTGTGAACAAGTGTGCAAAGTTTCAAAGCCATATGTCAATGGACTTTGAAAATATTTGAACTATTACAAAAACTTTAACGTAAATTCTAAGTCGAAAAAGGGGCATAATTCTGTCAAAATGCTTGATACAGTTACCTCCTCCTGTTTACAGGTTGGGGTCATGATGGTGAACAAGTGTGCAAAGTTTCAAAGCCATATGTCAATGGACTTTGAAAAATATTTGAACTATTACAAAAACTTTAACGTAAATTCTAAGTCGAAAAAGGGGCATAATTCTGTCAAAATTCTTGATACAGTTACCTCCTCCTGTCTACAGGTTGGGGTCATGATGGTGAACAAGTGTGCAAAGTTTCAAAGCCATATGTCAATGGACTTTGAAAATATTTGAACTATTACAAAAACTTTAACGTAAATTCTAAGTCGAAAAAGGGGCATAATTCTGTCAAAATGCTTGATACAGTTACCTCCTCCTGTCTACAGGTTGGGGTCATGATGGTGAACAAGTGTGCCAAGTTTCAAAGCCATATGTCAATGGACTTTGAAAATATTTGAACTATTACAAAAAACTTTAACGTAAATTCTAAGTCGAAAAAGGGGCATAATTCTGTCAAAAATGCTTGATACAGTTACCTCCTTCAGTCTACAGGTTGGGGTCATGATGGTGAACAAGTGTGCCAAGTTTCAAAGCCATATGTCAATGGACTTTGAAAATATTTGAACTATTACAAAAACTTTAACGTAAATTCTAAGTCGAAAAAGGGGCATAATTCTGTCAAAATGCTTGATACAGTTACCTCCTCCTGTCTACAGGTAGGGGTCATGATGGTGAACAAGTGTGCAAAGTTTCAAAGCCATATGTCAATGGACTTTGAAAATATTTGAACTATTACAAAAACTTTAACATAAGTGGTTACGCCGACGCGGACACCAACGCCGACGCCGACGCTCGGGTGACTACAATAGCTCTACTTATTCTTATCGAATAGTCGAGCTAAAAATGTAAGAATCAGCGCAAAAAAACCCAACGATATTTGTCTATTTTGTGATCATGATTTCTGCAAGCGTCTAGAGGTACGGCTTCAACACTGTATTGAGTTAAATCATTTCAATTGTAAATAATTTATATGAGCCGCGTCACAACAAAACCAACATAGTTTGTTTGCGACCAGCATGGATCCAGACCAGCCTGCGCATCTGCGCAGTCTGATCAGGATCCATGCTGTTTGCTATCAGTTTCTCTACTTGTAATAGAGTTGGTAAGCAAACAGCATGGATCCTGATCAGACTGCGCGGATGCGCAGGCTGGTCTGGATCCATGCTGGTCGCAAACTCACTATGTTGGTTTTGTCATGACGCGTCTCAATTATTCTGTGCACTCTATACCTCATCACTTGGAGCAAGTTCCTCTGGTAGTGCTGGTCGCCCCATGTTCAATTTGATCTTTGTATTAAACAGCTGGGCTACGTAATCATCATCTTCATCATCATCATCGTCCCCTACACCACTGATACCACTGTCTGATTTATCCTCCTGGGAACCAGTCATTTCTACATCCTTGATGTCTTGATTCCTGGCCTCAGGCGGTTCTTCAACTTCAGAAAGGAAAAAAAAATCTATTGAACTCTATTGAGTGTTATTAAGAATTTTTTAGTTTTGTTTTGTCATATTATGCTGTTCTTAATTAATAACCCAAGTTTACATTCATTAAAACATGTTTCCCTATAATGGATGTCATTTTAAAAAGCTCTTTCAGTAATAAGCCAAATAGTATATATTCAGGGATTTTTTGGGGCTTATTTTATAGCTGATATTATGTCATATTCCCAATTGTAAATAGTGTATTATTTTCCCAATCCACAGGAAAAAATTCCAAATTGAAAGTTACAAAATAAAAATATTGAACAACAAATTCTAAAATCTTTAAAAATAAGGGCTTCTTCACTGCTGAAATGTTTGAAGATGCCATCTTAGACAGTGACTCTTTGCAATCATTTAATCACTGCAAAATTTAAGCCATGCATTTTCCCCCAATTTTTAACAAAACATCGCTGAAATTCTCAATTCCATGGGTATGGGTCATGTTCCCAAAATCCTTAAAAAAAAACCCTGATATTTGTTCAAATTTTGTTTAACATATATCAATAAATATGACAATGGTTATACACAACTCTGTATAAAGATAATAAAAAATACCTTAAAAAACTTTATTAACATATATATGGAAGCCTGGAATATAAGTTTTTTACTAAATCTTCCAATGTTTCAATGATCTTACCCCTTAAAGAAAATGTAGGTGTAGAATACAAAGAGATACCTTTAATTTCAATATCTGATGAAGGTGTTGTTGACTCAGACTCAGATTTGACAGGCTCAGTGGATAATGTCTCTGTTGGTGGTGGTGGTGTTAGTTTAGAGGCTTCAGGGTCTTCCTTGATATCTTCAGTTTTAGGGGTTTCTGTTTCTGTCTTACCTATCCAGCAAGAAAAACCACATGAAATATAGTATATCACAACTTTCCCCCCTCAGATAGTTTAAACATATTTATCTAAGCGTGATTGCGAAACAAGCTCTTGCAACTTATATTTATTACTTTTGAGTCCAACCAGTCCTGGTGTTATATAAAGAAACATGGTCGTGACCAGATTAAGGCACGAACCCATGATCACTGGGTTAAGAGGTAGACACTTTTACCACTAGGCCACCGCTCCCCCTCAGATACAAATATTTCATTGTAAAAGTGATCTGATGATTTTATACTGGTAATTAATATTTATGTATCCATTCTGTTAATTACCAGAAGACAATAAAACTTCACAAGCCCCATGATTTTTTTTCAAAACAGAATTCTAATCAAGGGGAGATTACTCCACAGTTATTAAATAACAATCAAAGCCAGAAAACTTGCAGTAGTCTTTAATGACCTTAGTGACCAGATAACATAAACTGTGCTAAAGTCTGAACTTCCCCGACCTCCAACTTAAAAGTTTTACAGCAAAAGTAAGTGCCCCTACATTACACTGTTTTGTCAGTCTTCAGACAGACATGTGACAGCAAGACAGTGCTATGAATGGACATATGCTAATCTATATGCCTCCTCCCCCTTTATAGTGGGGGCATATAAACAAGAATATCATACAGGATATAAGGTAAATGAGAGATATTGAAATTATCCTATATAAGCAATAGCGTACCAGCTTCTTTTTCTTTGCCCTTTTCATCTTTCTTTTTATCTTTGTCTTCTTCGCCCTCTTTTTTCTTCTTCTTTTTCTTCCAGATGTGTGGATGGTAAACAGGCTTGAACAATCGTGAGAAACGCAAAACCTATACAGACAAAAAAATAAATTTTTATTATAACTTACTTTGGTATTAGACACCAATTTTTTGTATTTTGCGAATTTCAGGTTTTTTTCTTACATTTTTTATATCTATACTTATACATTATATTTTTGAACACACTTTTCCTTATCTCTCTATCAGTAAAATGGCTTATTGTTTTATCAGTGATGTGGTTTAACCCTTACTATGCTAAATAACTCAAATGGTCTTGTCCATTTTTCAATCTAGGCAAAACCATTTATCTATTTTAGGGAAAACTTCAGGTATTGACAGCGGACAATGAGAGCATGTTCAGACAGCACCACCACCAGATGTACCGGGTGACACTGGTCTGCACTGGTCTCATGGGATGATTCAGTGGCCACCAGCCACCAAGATAAGGGCTAAAGCAGCTTTAAACACATTTTAATATAAGAAATGAGAATGACATTCTACATGAAGTTTTTTCATAACATTGATTTAGAAATGGTAGTTGTTCACATAACCATATGTTTGATTCTCAAAAGAGTTGTATCATAGAATGTCTCTGTTATTTAACACATATGAATATTGCATGTAAGCAGGGTAAAGTGTTCCAAAACAAAACATTATTCTGTTTTAACAGGGGTTTTTAACTGTAAAGTAATGATTTTGTGCATGCATAATTCATTTTTAAGGAAAAACACAAACATTTTCTTTTATACAGTTATTTTGAAAATATTCTTTTAACAATACCTTAGTAAAGTAGTCAGCAGAAAAAATAGTTTTCAGTGTAAAAACCAGTTCAGATCATAGAGAAAGTTTGTCAAGAAAACCCTATAAGTCTATTTTTCTCTTGACCAATTAATGTGAAAAAATATAAGTTTTGAAGGGAAAAACTCAATAAAAACATCATTTTTGTACATATTTTTAATTTTTTATATTGCTTTTCTGTTCTTTTAATAATCATGGAATACTCTATCCACATTTTGTTTGTATATCACCAAGATATCACGTTTTTATCTATGACAAGTATCTATGACTGTATGACAAATGTATGTAAATATATATGTATATATATCCACCTGGTTTTTCCTGAATTCTGGGAAGTACTTAGTAACGTCAGCATCCTTCAGTTCTGGAGGCAACATGGCTGCAAGCGGGGTATTTAGGGAGGGTGATAACTGACCCATTCCTGCCATACCACTAGAACCTATAAACAAAATATTTTCTACTTGAAAGTGTTTAACTTTATTATAACAGATGTCTTTTTTCCTAAATTCAATACAGCATACATCATACATTTGCTTACGTTTGTTTGTTTGTTTTGATTGAGCTTTAAATCACACGGACACAGTAAACATTTGCTTATGTTTTTTGTTTAACTTTCTTTTTTATTTCTGTTTTTAGAGATCTTCTGTTTTGCTATAAAAGTTCTTCATAGCATATGTAGATATATGTAGATGTTGGATAATGCATTGCTGCTTAGTCATGTGCTGATTTAGAGGCAGGAGGGATAAAGAGATTATTCCCCACCCCCACTCTGGAATATGCATTACCCCTTGCTTAAATTTTGCAACACTCTCTGATAAAAAATCTCAGATCTGCAAATGTTAGTTGTCACAAACAATGAAAACTTTTTCAATACAGGTAAACAACAAAGACAACTTGTACAGCAAAATTAACATCTCTAGAATTTAGATCCAAATAGGAAACTGCTTTTGGAAGCTTGTGGACATAATAAGAAAAGCTCACCTTTGAGCACAAAGTGATATGTTGAGTTACAAAGAATCTTCAATTAGAGCACTCATTTTCACCCTTTCTGAAACTTTAACTCCAGGACAACCTAGCGGTAGCTTAAATTTTCTTTGGGACCAAATATCACAAAAGGGAGATTATTAGAATTTCATAAATCTAAAAAAAAACACAATAAGCTTTATTTTGATTATTATATTATTTTTATGAAATAAATCTGAGCTACTTTCCTGTACTGTAAAATACCTGGCACATGGCAAGCATGCTGATTGCTAAATTGACATTAGTTTATGTTCAGGAAGCTGAAATGCCATGATTTGTTATATAATATTTGAGTCAGTAAATAAAAAGACCTGTTGTTGGTTTAACATCAGGTTTTAACTGAACTGGGAGCCAGGTTGGTGGGGGCATCAGCTGAGAATCTTTATCATCATAGTCATCATCTTCATCATGCTCTGTAATACAAAAATCTTAGATATAAGAGAATTTAATTAATCATATAAGGGAATTTAACTAAACATGCAAGTAGAGCAAAAGTATCTGTATCATTAACAACACTTCACCTTTGGTCACATTAATCTACAATGCTTTTAAAAGCATCTATTAAAAAAAGCCATAATATAGAGATTGTCTATTATATAAAAGCCAAGTTAGAGCATTTACAATACTTGAACATTTTACAACTGTTCCAGTGTAGATGTAAAAATGTCTTGTTGTCAAATGGCAGGCTGTGTAACTTTTAAGATTTGTAAAATTTTTTTCTTCACCATATTTTACTTCCATGTGCATTGTTACTTTGGATGTAGGAAAAAAAGCAAAATTGTCAATTCAAACTGGTCGAAAAGCTCCAGTTTCCATCAATGCATTATCTAATTATAACAATAGAACTTTGCTTCCTCTGTTAGATATACATATACAGACAGCTTTCTCAAATGATATAATTCAATACATGTATCTTTGGCAGTTTTTATCACTCACATCCAATGTAATAGAACACCAACCTTGTTTTAGCATATGCATTGAGGACATTGCTTGGCTGATCTTAGCCTTATCTTCTTCTTCCTCATCCGCCACCTCAACAATGTCAGAAAAATCCACAGCATCACTGGCCTTCTTCTCATAATCTGTATCATGATACCGTATTCTCATATATTAGACATGATAATGTTTCCATCACATTCAACAAATGAATAAATTATGGTTAATCATTATAATAAGGATATGTTTGAATAAATGAATGAAGCATAAACAATTAACTTTAAATAAAGGCATGATGCTCTGTCTTATATAAAAAAAACAAAAATCATTAAATTTATAGCCCTACAGAACACAGAAATCATTTTTATCATAGGAATATTTAATGACAAGAAAATCATAATGGTTGGCAGTCATCATAAAAGTTGACATGGTTTAGAAAATTCCACAAATAACGACATCTCCACTTGTAAGTATAGTAGGAAACTTTTAAATTAAAAAAAGTTTTATGATTCTGCCATCATTGAGCTTAAACAAAAATGTAAGTTTGTACTACAATGTAAATAACCAACTAGTGTGTATGAAGCGCTACCTTGGGATGAATCATTACTACTTTCCCAGGTATCCTGAATTTGTTCCGAGTCATCAGTGATCTCCCTAACAAGGGAACCTATACCAAGTGCACTGAGTGACCCTAGATGCTTCTTTGATTCCTGTTAATACAGATAATGCTGCATGTCTAGGCAATCAATTTTCAAAATCATTTTAAAATATCGGAATAAATTAACTGGAATTTACATAATGTAGCTTTCACAGTCAGTCAGTAAGAAAATAAACTACAGAAATAGTTCCATTATATATGCCCAATAACAAAATAAAACTTACAATCATTATTCTAATTTTTAAAACAAGTATTGGCCTCCTCTATCAAAGTATCCAATGAAAAAAATCTTAGCCAAAAAAGCAATAAAATATTTTTAATTTAAACTGTGATAACATCAACAAAGCAACTGAGATCAAACAAGTAGGTTACTTATAAGCGCTAAAGGGTGTTAATTGCAACATAACACAATGTTATTTCAAGGACATTAATAAAGTTATTTTTTGTTCACCTCATCAAGGAAATCTTCTTCCAGTTCCCCTTTCTCATCAATGTTACCAAAGAGAAACCCCGTCAGAGAAGATACAGCCACCTCCTGAAAGTGTTGTTCCGACTCATCAACATCCATCATGTTAATATGAATGATTACATTCCTGATCTAAGATGACATGTACAGTGAACATTGCTGTCTTAGAAAATCCGATTTGTTCCATTTAAGGCAGAATCGTTGAGTTTTCATCTTCACTATGTCACTTTAGAACTGTAGGGTATAATTCACTATAAATAAACAAAATATTATGCATGTAAAATGAAAACCTCTTAAAGACATGAAAAAACTTGTACATAAATAGCTTGAATCATATACATTTGGGGGAATTTAAAAACGTTCAATAAACTATATGATAATATCACATACAACTTTTAAATTACAAGTCTACTTTGACTGACGTAAATTCATGCCACCTAAATATGGAAATATGCCAATATCGACTTGTGATCTTGTTTGTTTGTTTGTTTGTTTGTTTGTTTGTTTGATTTTACGCCTTTTTCCAACAGTATTTCAGTCATATAGACGGGTAGTTTCCTAACCATCGTTCCTGGAGAGTTACACCAGTACTAGACTACCTTCCTCCGCGCTAAACTACCAAAGCATCTCCCGGGGATCGAACCCACGCCAGAGAGGTAACTGGATTAGAAGTCATCAACTCGAACCCCTCGACCACGGAGGCTAAAAAACCCTTCTTTGTAGAGGCCGAGAAAAGGCTGCTTCCCCAACCAAAGTAGCCTCTTTTTTTTCCTGTTTGGTCCTCAAAATTACCTAGTCTAAAACTCTTTTAAAATTTTCCATAGAATTTAGAACAAAATTAAATGATGGTGTTGAATTAAGGTCTTTTACTGGCAAATTACTGCCTTATTAGTATTTCCCAGTGCTTTTTGTTTTTCTATTTTGAAGAACTTGTTAAAAATATTGTGTGTTAAATTTGAGATCCCTTTTCCCAAAGTATGCCAAAATCATGCATATTTCCCCAAGAAAAGGCTGAGGCCCCTTCCCCAAAATTGGTGTTTTGGCCTTGTGTCAATATCATTGGAAATATTGGATTTTGTAGCTAAAGATACTTCAGCGAACAGGTTTTATAGTAGTGCTAGACCTGTTCGCTGAAGCCAATCCCGTATCAAAAGTCAACCAGAACCGTGACATATTTATATCATGCTGTAATTCAATAAATTTGGGTGATCTGGACAAAAGCTATTTTAATACAGGTAGTTACATATATTTGGGACACTTCAGTCTATATTTTTGAACACAGAATGTTAAATTGATGAAATAATGCCTCAAAGTTTATCAGCGGGTTCACATTTCATAAAATTCGCCGCCATTGCTGCCCTAATTATCAGGTGACTAGCGAGAATTTAGGTTCGGATACCTTCGCATGACATTTGGTGACCCGTGACCCAAATGCTATTTTAATTGAAAACATGGCTTTGCAATTATGAATAACGGTGTATTTTTTTCGATAACAGACATTGTACCAAAAACATGTTGGATTTATATTGTTTTGAGTGACAATCCATGAATTGTTTGTTTGTTTTTATTTAAAATCAAACACTTACTAAAAATAGTGTATGGTCCATTACTAAATAGATGCTAGAAATTCCAAAACTTGAAGTCCCGCGAGATTTCATGTGAAAGCAGACTCCATATTGGTAAACATTCTCTACACATTTCCCTAACAAATAGTTGGGTTCACAATGTCACTGAAGTTTCATTTAAAAACAAAACATGAAGTGATTCAAAATTGATTTGTTTATCAAATGGTATTTTTATTTGACACAAATTTGATTAATAGGGTGATTTTAATAGGATTTTAATAGCGAGCTCGACGAGCTGGCCCGAAGAGCCTGCTCGCAAAGCGAGCTTTACGGTAACGCGAGTACCTGCTAAGTGATGGTTTTGAAAACTTTTGTTCGAAGTACCGAATTGGACACATCGCAACCTTTCGAATTTAAAGATAACGATAAAAACTGAGGAATTCTGACTGAGAACGGATGTGTAGACTGGTCACCCGCGCACGTCTATGGGAACCATAATTGGAAAGGAAACCAGAACAACGGAAGCTGTCGATAAAATATCGAACGGAAATGTCAAATGAAAATTGAAGGCGCCATTTTGTTTGAAAAATCTGATAAATTAAAACAATTTTTTGTCGAATTTTGTTGTGAAAACTATCTAGAATGAAAGAAAATGGTCTAAGAAAATGAATCCGAACACCAATATCTTTTATTCAGTCGTTAACGCTGTACAGACGTTTAAAGTATTGTTTACGTGACGTCACAATGTAGCGCCAAACAGCACGTGCAAAACAAACAAATCAAGTACGCTATTTTAATGTCGCAAACATTTTAAGTTTTACATTTATTTCACTTTTTATAATCTTTATTTCGCTTGAAAAATTATAGAGTGAAATAAAATAAACAAAGTTTAATACTCGTTATTCATTTAACGACAGGGGCGGAGCCATATTTAACACAGTACGTGTAACGTCACACGCACTCGTCACTGCATTTGAAATAAAAATGAGCGATTATTTCATACTATTTCACGTTAAAAGTACATCGAGCTCGCTTTGAGGCTTTGCCTTTTTCTTATTAGGTTTTTAAGTACGGCGCACGAACTGCCAAATTCTGGTAGCCTTTGCAAATAGGGTTGACCAATAACTTTACTGTCGCAACGTCAAAAATTATAAAAGCGACATATAAAGTTATGGAAGCCAGAACTATGGATTTTACTGCCTTTTTGCTCTGGTAGCAAGACACCTCACCCCCCAGACACTTCACCCCTCAAATTTTGAAGACACTTCACCCCTTAAGACACTTCACCCCCCAAAATCAGTAAGACACTTCACCCCTCATCCAATTTTTTTCTATAAAGTAAATAAAACAAGTTGGTCAACAACAAAATGCTTACAATAGTTACATATGTTTATATTTGTTATTTTTAGTATTATTTGATTAAAAAATTTGCTTATAACCTTTATTTTTACTAAGTTTAAAGCTGATTTAGGTTAATTGGTTGTATTACCAAATGATATATCACAGCACTTTCATCCATTAAGTGTTTATTGCATGTCACCTTGTTTATTCAATATGTTGATTAGTTGATGTTTATTCAACTGTTATCTCACAATTGATTAGATAATTGAATTAAAATGTTATAATTGTATGAAAATTAGATTAATTCTTAATAAATAAATTAAATAAATAGATAAAATGAATACAAATGAATATGAATGAATGAATCGGTTGCTTTAAAAAATATAGTAAATATAAATTATTTATCATCATTATCAGACAATTATCCTGCATTTAATACAAAGATCATTCCTAATGTTATTTATTAAACAAATAAATAGCACCAGTTATGTAAATTAAGCACAAGGTTAAAGCACAAACCAAACCATCACCAAATGAACGTAACTTGATGATTATTATATGGTAAGGATCAGACTGAAAACAAACTAAGGTACCAAAACTTCAAGAATTAAATCAACTCAAAATTTATTAGACAATGGGTAAAAACAATAAACATACACAATCACTATTGAATGTATTTAACATAATCTACATAAATAATTGTTAAACACAAAATAAAAAAAATGAGGGGTGAAGTGTCTCAATCAAATTTCTTAAAATGAGGGGTGAACTGTCTGAGGGGTGAAGTGTCTGCAAAAAAGGGCCTAGGGTGAAGTGTCTGGGGGGTGAAGTGTCTGTAAGCCTTTGCTCTCAAGTTAAGACTTGATAATTAAGGGATACATAAGCTAATTTAGTTGTTTTGAAAAAAAAACACTATAGTCGGAATATAGGAAAATAGAAGTACAGCGTGAGCTTATAATTAAATCAATAGATATAAAGAAGAAAATTATCTTACTTCGCCGGTCAATTTTTTGTTTTTCCATGGTGTGATTGATTAAAACATATAAATTTGATATAGAACATTGTTCACTAAAAAGCACAGATATTAAAGAAACATATTATCCTGGAGTAGTAAATCGAAATGACACAATGAAAGAACACTAATACTCAGAATTGATAGTTCACATAAACATTAGATTTTTAGTGCCAAACAAATTATATAACATGTATACACACTTGGTAAAAATAAAATCCTAACCGAAATCAAGCACAACTTATTTGGTTAATATCCGTTTCATTGCCGTTCCATAACTATCACGACAATAAGACAGAAATTAGCTCTGCAACATAGCGCATAGAATCTACATTTTTTTTTACAAAAGATACGATACGTGTTTAAAAAGTTCCGATGTACATTAGAGGTAAAAGAATACACACTGTGTAGAGTCTATCGAAGATTACTGGCAGGACCTCCTTTTTGAAGCTCTTGGTGATTGTAAAGGGCATTATTTGGTGAAAGCTGTTCAAGAACCGGATGATAATACATGTATATATATATATATATATATTTAATTTTTAACGCTAATATTGCACTTTTTGACCAAAGTTTTCTTTATACATGTATATAAAAAAAGAGAATAACGGACAAAAAGACAGAATCTATATGTTGTTATATATATCATTGTAGACCAAGCTGACAGTTTTAAGTTCTTCTAGGGCCGAGGTTACCCGTTGAGATCCCAAGCATCTTATAGGGCTTATGGCAATAAGGTTGAATGAAGAAACTTCAATTCGCCCATTGACTATGCGATACATCATAGTAACCTTTGCACGGGCAATGCGTTCTTGAAGAGTTGGCCACTGCAATTCCTGCAACTACGGCATCAAACAGCTTGTCCTCCAGTCCGAGTAGACCATACTTGTCGGTGCAATATCTCCAGTTTCCAAACATTTACGACAGTTAATGGATCCCAACTGATGAAGGAGCAGTCCAAGCTATTTGGCCTCCCATAGTCAATGTAGTTTCTATGAAAAAAATTATCAGGCATTTTTTTCGGCTTTCTCTGTTATGAGTGTTGCGCCGTTAAATGTCGCAACGCCGCTAAATGTCGCACTTGCCGCTAAATGTCGCACCATTGCCGCTAAATGTCGCAACCGCCGCTAAATGTCGCAAAATTATTTGCCGTTAAATGTCGCAATGTTAACGCTAAATGTCGCACGAATTTCCCTTACCGTTAACATGGTTAAATGTCGCAACACTACCGTTATAAATGTCGCAAGATGTAAATTCATGTTAAAATCATGATTAAAGTAGGATTATATTACTTTTTAACATTCTCATAGTTATTTTTATTGTAATTGCCATCTTTGTTCTACTTGTTTTCTTTTATGAACCTAGATATCGAGGTTTTGAGCTGCTATATAATGTAATCTTTAGGCTACAAAGGATAATTGATAAGATAAGTATTTTTCTTTTGTTTCCCATTTTCATTTGTAACCCTGATTGACAACAGATTAAAGGTATTATGGCATTGTCGCTCTCAGAATTTGGTTTAAGTAATTTCATTTATTTTCTCAGACACTACCGAATTTACTTTAAATGTGGTTTATTTGTTTACTATGATCATATGATGCAATATCAAAGGGCAGATAATCCTAGATATAGTTTGCAAAGTTATTCCCCTTATTTCTCTAAGATGTTTCCGCTCTGATTAACGTTTTGGTTACGGCTAATTTCAAACATATTCACTTTAAACTTAAATACTTATTTCATATAAAAGTACTAATGCATTTCTAAAGGACAGATGATCCTGACAGGTATTTTTGCTAAATTATCTCCCTTTTTATATTTTCCCCCCAAAATACATATTAAATATTCACTTCAAACGTGAATGCAATTTTTTTTATTTTATCAGAAACGGCAAATACGTGAAAAACATAGTATGAAATGCACGGTCAATACGAAAATCGAAAACAAAAATTATCATGTAGTACTACTTGAACATGTAGTCGGGCGTTAGAAATGACCGAATTTTACGATTAACACATACGTATAATATGCACCGGAATTTTTGTTAGCAGCTCAATCGGTTAGAGCGCGAGACTTGTAGTCTTGACCTTGTGGGTTCGATTCCCGGACTGCCAACTAAAAGTACTAATCAGTCTTTCGGATATCACTTTTAATCGAGGTGCCATGTATGGGTGCTTAAACAACTTGACACGTTAAAGAACCAGGGGAAACTTCTGGAATTTGGGCATCTTTCTGTACCTGTAATTGCACAATCTCCAAAATCTAAAATGACTAATACACTTCTGGAGGACTCGCCCATATGGGCAACCGGTGGCGAGTATAATTAAACGCAAAATATACACACACAGTAAGCAGATGTCAAAGTTAGAATGAGTTCACAATATATAGTACATTTTACGATTTGTCAAACACTATTTACGCTTTGACATTGTGGCAAGTGATATTTTACTCGCCAAGTCGCTTTATCCTATGAAAGATTCTCAGTAAAAGTAGTATAGGCGTCGGTTTTACGTCACGACTGCGCATGCGCGGCGCCATATTGGATTCTATTTTTAGAATGACATCATCGTTCTATTTTTAGAATGACATCATCTGTTTATTTTTAGAATGACATCATCGTTTTATTTTTAATCTCCCGGAAGTATACGGAGCTGACTTGTATACCCGATCTAGGGCTTGAAATGCGGACATTGAGGGTCAGGTCCTCGGCCCAAGACGGGGAGATAAAATTAGTATCCAAGCATTTTAAAATTGAATGGCAAAAATAATGATTCCCTTTGTTTTTATATTTCCCACACTGCGTACAGTGTACTTGACAACTGATTTAATTATTACTTTTAATCAATGTTCTCTATAATACACGTTTAATTTAACTCAAATAACTAACATTTTAAATGTATTTCTTTATATTTTAAATATCACCCTTAATACATAATTTATCTTATACATTTTCAAATAAGGTTATTAACATATTTATTTTAAGTATTTCTTTATAAACATTTAATAAAAATATTACCTCTTTACTCCTTAAGCTCCAGCAACGAAATGACTCCAATATTAAAAGTACTATTCCTTAATGCGCATGCTTGGATTTGATGACGTCACCAATGCAATAAAACAAGCTCCAACATGTTGCGCGTCTATTTATTTAAGGCCGACTGGGCGGACAATTCAAAGTAAACATGTCAAATTTGATCCTTTTAAAGTCGCCGCACTGTCTGGCGTGTGTTGATTTAAGAGCAGATGTGCGGACAAAAGGCTATTCAGGTGTCAAAATTAATCCATTCAGAATGTCAACAATGTCTGGCGTATGTTGATTTTAGAGCAGATGTGCGGACAATGGTCCATTCAACTGTTAAAATTAATCCATTCAGAATGTCAACAATGTTTGGCGTCCTGTTTATTTTAGAGCAGATGTGCGGACAATGGTCCATTCAACTGTCAAAATGAATCCCTTTAAAGTCGCCGCGATGTTTGGCGTCTTGTTTATTTAGGGACGAATACTTTAACAATGGTCTATTCATATGTCAAAATTAATCCCTTTAAAGTCTCCGCGCTGTTTAGCGTTTGTTTATATAAACCCGAATGCGGTATAATGGACATTGATTTTATCAATAGTGTACCTTTTAAGGGTCCCGGTCAGCGAAATGTTTACTTAGTGCAAACAGACTGCTGAAATAAGGATTAAAATTTGTAGAAAATGTTGCAACTTATAAAATTATGACTTATACCTAATACTGTTTTGCTTTCTAGTCTACAAAATGCTGTAATCTACACTTTAAATGAAATTTCATTCCCTTGCGTGTATTTCTGAGCAATTCCATTCAAAGAAATTAAGCTACAGACCGGTTTTTCCTCTCTAGGGCAACCGTTTACGATATGATTTTTCAATTTTTCACTACCAATTGAAAGAACATTTTAATACCTTTAATTTACACCCCCCATTGTCGATTCGATTTTCAACTGTTACAGAGTTATTACGTAACAGCGATTTTTAAACCCATATTTTTAAAGTTTACAAAGCCCTTCAATTTATATACCGTTAAAAAGATCTCGACGAGTAGATTCAGAAAATGTATAGGTTTATGGGTCTATCATTATGAGTTACTGAGATATTACAGATATAGACTTAGTGTATTTTAACCACCAATGTAAGATAAAGCGTTATTGCACTAAATTGTTTGAAAATATTCAAATGAGTGTGGCGTCCTTATTTATGGGTCGATTTTATCCATTTTGGTATCAAATTAAAGGTATTCAAGAGTACTTTCAGACGCTGTTGATAGTAAAGTTCATACTGGAAGTCAAAATTACTCATGCGTTAAATGACAATTCTCCGCTTATTTCTGGACATAACATGGGTATGTTGCATATCAAACGAAAGGTCTTGACAAATGCGACAAGCTGAAACTAACAAACCGCAAGTGAAACCAATCATGCGTAAAAATCATTAAAATAACTAAAATAAGCTTACCCCCAACCTTTACTCCTCGCTATCTAAATCGGCAATGAATGAATCGCTACGGTTAATCGTAATAAATGGAGTAAAAGAAGCGTTCGGATTGGTCACTGATAAGACAGTATTCTGATTGACTCGAAAGCAGGTTGGACAACCGTTCCTTGCAATGTGTAAAAATACATAAAACAAGTGAGGAGGAGGAGGAGGTGGAGGAGGAGGTGGAGGAGGAGGAGGAGGAGGAGGAGGAGGAGGAGGAGGAGGAGGGGAGAAGGTGAAGAAGGTGGAGGAGGAAAAGAAGAAGCAGGAGGGGTAGGAGGTGTAGGAGTAGGAGGAAGAGGAGGAGGAGGAGGTGGAGAAGGAGGAGGAGGAGGAGAGAAGGAGGGGAGGAGGAGAGAAGGAGGGGAGGAGGAGGAGGTGGTGGCGGAGGAGAAGGAAAGGAAATTTTTTCCTGTATCTGTGACCTATGGGTATCAAGCAGTTCAACCGATCTAAATGGAGAACAATCTTCACTCAGGAGAATATATAAAATAATACGTCGATGTATGTAAACCTTTCAAAAGACATCCAATGGAACAGAAACTGGACT